GCTTTGGCTGTTCAGAGGTATGAGTATTGTAGGGATATATGCGTAATAAAAATGGCAAACTTACACAACCGGAATTCATGCAAACAATATAGAAGCTATGTGGTCGAGGCTGAAAGAGTTTTTGTGACCTTATCACGGCTCCAGAGTCCTAGTATTATGGAGCCATATGGATGAGTTCCTCTACCTTATGCATTACGATTTTAGAACCTTTGAACCTTTTTCTAACCTTGACAAGTTTTTGGACCATGTAAAATAACTGTATCCACTCTCATTCTTTGGTGTTGTATAATATATTTTTACTCTTTACTAACTGTTGCTTGATTGGCTAATATTTCTTAATGTCACTCGAGATTCATCCAAATGTCGTCCATAAATTATAGTCTTGCGAGGTATATGTCTTCTCTGATCATAAGGATTATTCATCTTTGTTTTCGATTTGGGGTTCCCGCCACCCTTAGTGTTGTGATGCCTACAAAGCTTAGCCCACTGTCGCCTGTCCTTCTAAAGAGCTGTTCGATCTTCGATATCAGAGAATTAAAATTCTGAGTTTACCTTCGATTTTATTGTAAACTTAGTTGATTTATGATAAGTGTTAGATTCATGCGCGTTATTATTTAGTTCGCTTTCTTCGTCACAGTACAGGTATCATTCATATACTCCTTGTATAAATGGTGTGTATGAATGTGTTCGAAGAACACGATATTTTACGTTATCCATGAAACGATGTAATCTAATTACGCTCACAGGTGATTGCATATCAACCACGTCGATTCTCTGATCCAGCTCATCATCAAGACTGAATTGTACTTTGAAAGTGTAACAGGAGTATTTCTCTCAAATAATGTCCGGGACTTACTTACTTACGCCTGTTACCCCTCGTCGAGGAGCATAGGCCACTCACCAGCATTCTCCATCCAACTCTGTCCTGAGCCTTCCTTTCCAGTTCTTTCCAGTTGCTATTCATTCTTTTCATATCTGCTTCTATTTCCCGGCGTAGTGTGTTCTTTGGCCTTCCTCTTTTCCGCTTACTTTCCGGATTCCAAGTTAGGGATTGAGTCGTGATGCACATTTGTAATTTCCTTAATGTATGTCCGATCCACTTCCAACGTCTTTTCCTAATTTCCTCTTCAGCTGGAAGCTGGTTTGTCCTCTGCCATAAAACGCTGTTGCTGATAGTATCCGGCCAGTGGATGTTTGATGTCCGGGACTACCAGTGTCAAAATTTTTGTCGTTACCCATAGTTGAATAAAATGCAAATAGTCTATGAGGAGGAAATACGGACAGAATCTAATCAGCTTTTTCCTCTTCCTAGATATACTGACGTCAGTTATTGAGTTAAAGTCAGGAAAATCACATGTACTGTGTTTATTGGTCTGGTTTCAGTTTCGGTTGTAGAATTCCCACTGATCATTTGGAGGTGACATAGCATGGGGAGTTTACATTTTTAAAGAAAAAGAGCTTTCTTATATACTTTAAGACCGTAAAATCAAAGAATAGCTAAAACAAATGGTCCTAGTTTAAAAACGTCGCCAGTGATGAACTATTTTTCAAAATTTCTGTCGAAGTTTGCTTGATTTGTTCGTCTCTATCATTGTAGGTGGTTTTTTTTAAATTACTTATTATCTGAAAACTTGGAGAATAATCTGTACTTACCATTGATATCTGCAAGAACGATTCCAGTACTCGTGTCCGAACGAAGAAGTACTACTTTTCCCCCCTTGATCATCTAGTTGGGATTTTTGTTCTTTTGAAGGAAGTCGCTTAGTGATTAATTTCGTTCTAATATGTTGGCGGGTAATTTAATGACATTGAATTCGATTCCGAAATTCTTTTCCAGGCTGTCGATTAGGTTGCTAGTCTACCTGATAAAGCTTTCAAACTGGAGTTTTGTGTCATTCATCATCTCATGTCAAAATGTCACTGAATTTAGGCCCCAATGATGATGTCTGGATTTACAAGAAGGATAATGAAATACTAGGATATATATTTCTTGGGTGTTTCTGTTTCAGACTTCATCAGCTTTGGGGTCACGTCTTCCGAGCGTCTATTGAGAATAGTGTCAATGTATTTACTTAGTTTCTCACACTCATCCTCTCATAATTTGAATGCTGCATACACTCTCAATTAGATGCTACTTTCATTCCCTGGTAACCTGAACGTCGCCTTGTCGATTTAGTTCGGAGCAAAATACTTAAAAGAACGATGTCTCGGATGGATGTGATTACTATGAAGGGCTTTCCAGAATAGTTTCGGGCAATCACTCTTCTTTATTCAGCCTTTGAAAAAAATGATTTTGATGTTCACTTTGGGCAGGGTAAACAGAATATCACAAAAACCTAGTTCCTTTACCGTTATGGAGTCTTCCGGGATTTTCAAATGAAGCATCACAGCATCGAAAACAAATTAAAACAGTTTATTAAAGATGATTTCGTTTTCGGTTCTATCATTTATCAGAGTTGTGTAATTGTAATTGTAGTTATTTAGAACAAGTAATTCTATAGTAAATAAATAGATATCGCATCATTTAACAAAATGATCGAAAAATCTTTTCAAGTACAGGAAACACTACATAATAGTTTAATGGATGAAATGAAATTATGAACTCTATTGACGATAATATCCCTGGTCATACTAAAAGCAAGACAATTAACATTATTATTACCTTTATTATTATTATTATTATTATTATTATTATTATTATTATTATTATTATTATTATTATTATTTACCATATCGCTAACTCTCCCCCTTTTATCCCCAATTTGTGTAACCTTACTTTTCAACTTATGCAGCAGCTCGCCCATGGTGGAAACTCTGTCCTATCTAAACGATCTCCAGTCACTGTCTGGTTGAAAGTGAATGCTTCCACCGATAATGAATACTGAGGCAGTCTTTCTGAAACCACGTACGCCGTTCAAGCTGGCTTCCTTCAACGTTCGCACACTAATGCATATCAGACAACAGATAGGGCTGGCTATGTCTTTGGAAGGTCTTAATGTTGATGTTCGCTGTCTATCCGAGACCCGTATTCAAGACTCTAGTGAAGTACTACAAATCCGCTCTCCATCTGTCGCCTCGAAGTGCTTGTTCCACGAGCGCTTATCCGGGGACCCTGTGGCATCTTCGTCTGGTCTTGCTGGCGTTGGTGTCGCACTAAGCGCTAGAGCTGAGGCAGCACTAATCGATTGGATCCCCATTAACAGTCGGTTATGTGCTGTTAGATTAGAGAGTTCCATCAAAGTGAGAAGAAATCGGCGTGAGAAACGGTGTCTTTTCGTCATCTCCGCCTATGCCCCGACAGATTGCAGCCCGGATGCAATCAAGGATGAGTTTTAACATCAGTTAACAGTTCTTCTCCAGAAAGCGCGTTCGACAGATATTGTAGTACTAGCCGGAGACTTGAATGCGCAGGTCGGGCGTCTAGGCACAGAAGAGAGTCGTCTAGGTGGCCGATGGGGACTTGTTGGTCGCCGGACAGATAACGGGGACCGTTTGCTGCAACTGTGCACAGACCACAACCTGTTTCTGGCCAGCACTAACTTCCGGCACAGTCATCGCCGGTGTGCCACTTGGCGTCCTCCCTCTGCATCCCAAGCCTGGACTCAGATTGATCACATCGCGATCAGCTACCGCTGGCGTGGTTGTGTACAAGACTGCCGCTCCTTTTGGAGTACCTATCTGGAGTCTGATCATGCCCTAGTCTGCGCCAATCTCACCTTACTTTTCAGTGGCCGAAGGATTGACCACCACCAACGGATTGATGTTAGTAAACTGGCTGCAACATCTGTTGCAAGTAAGTATCGAGCGGAGCTAGCCTCTAGGCTAGCTACCATCCCACCGAAAAGTATAGATGAGCATTGGTTGCATCTTCACGACGCCATGAAAACGGCGAGTAAAGCCGCTTGCGGCTTCGCGAAACGTCCCGCTTACAAGCACTGGGTTTCTTCTGGCTCCTTACAACTGATGGAAGCCCGTCGGTCTACTCCGGGTGACCGTGAGTTTGACCACAAACGAAGGCTGTTACGTAATGAAATCGGGCAAAGCTTGCGTAAGGACCGAGAAGCCTGGTGGTCGGAGCGTGCTAATGAGATGGAAGCAGCAGCTGCATCTGGTAACTGCCGGAAGCTCTTCCAACTCATCCGAGCCACTGGCAGCAAGAAGTCTGGTGTGAGTGAAACAATCTACGAGGATGACGGGATGCCAATCACTAACATCTGTCGACGTCTTGGACGATGGGCGGAATTTTTCGAAGGGCAGTTCAACTGGCCTGCTGCTCCGGCAACATCAACCAGTTTGTCCTGCCCCCCATGGCCAGTGACGACTGATCCACCAAACGAGGCGGAAGTCCGCAAGGAACTCCAACTCTTGAGGCGGTACAAATCACCGAGCCCAGATGACTTACATCCGGCTCTTTTTAAAGATGGTGGTGACTTTCTGACTAAGGAACTGACTGCGTTGTTTGGAAAGGTTTGGGAGCAAGAAAGTGTTCCAACATCATGGAATGAGTCAATAGTCGTCCCTATCTTTAAAAAGGGTTCACGTTGTTCCTGCAATAACTACCGGGGGATAAGTCTACTTTCGATTGCGTCCAAACTATTGGCTTCTATCATTCTTCGTAGGTTGTTTAAAACCCGAGAACGATTGACTCGCGAGGAGCAGGCTGGTTTTCGTTCTGGTCGAGGATGCATTGATCACATCTTCAAACACCGCCAAATGTTAGAACACCGTCATACTTATCGCAGGCCCATTGTCTCAAACCGTTTGTTTCTAAAGTTTTTGGGAGTTCATTTTGTTAAGATGTTCTAAACATGTTTCTGACAGGTGCCATAATGAGGCGGTTATAACTAACGTGTTTCAGAACGTAAAATTATGTTATTCATCATTTATTTAGGATTATTGATAGAAGTAAATTTTTGTTTCTAGTTCGACATTTTATTTACGTATTTTTTGAATTCTTCCTTCCTATAAACGTTCATAAAAAATGTTTCATTATTTTCATAGTTCCATTATTTCCAGACAATCTTGATGTTTCATGATCAAGTTGATAATTTCAGTTGATCTCTCCCAATTCCTCGTTTAACACACTATGTACTCAAGGTTCGTTATTTGTTGGAGAAACCAAGGAATATTTTTGCAACACCGTTTATGTTTTTATTCATCTAATCATCCCAAACAATCACCAACGTACAACGAGGTTAACATATTGATGATCGATCGGAATCTTCAAAAGGTTCTATTTAATTGTCAAAAATACGACTATCAAAAGGCTTCATTTGAAGTACTCCAAGAGTTCTGTCGCCTGGGAATTGACATTACATCTAATAGACATTACAAAGACCCGCTTTATTTTAGTATTCCTGACCTTAGTGGAAGTAATGTTAAAGAGCATTTAGACTCAGTTGCAAAAGAGCTTTCTCATCCTTATATGAAATTGTTAGAGAGTTTTGGTTCCCCACCAGACCTACCTAAAATTTGGGAATCCTCGTCTGGATGGACAAAGTATGTAAATACATATGTCTAATTGCAAATCTTTTAAAGATATAACGGTGATAAAACGTATTCTGTCGAGGCACCTCTTGAAGATGCTCTTATTTTTGATACAGAAGTTCTCGTTAAAGAAGGTCATGTACCAACAATGGCAGTAGCTCTTACGTCAGACGGTTGGTATGTTTTAAATGTTGTTCTTCAGTTTTGTAGGTATTCTTGGACTTCAAAACGTCTTTCTGTTTACGATGATAATTACTCAAACGATATCAACGCATTTAATTCTCTTATTCCTATCTATGGTTCAAAAAATAAAGATATTTCAAAGTGTGTTATTGGACACTTTGTTAGTTATGATCGTGCTCGAATATTGGAAGAGTATCTTTTGGATGTATGTACGTTTAATTAATTATTGTTGAATCATTAGGGAACTGGACTTCGATTTGTGGATACTCTTTCTCTTCATGTCGCTGTATCGGGTTTGACTAGTACTCAAAGGTTCCTTAAAACATCTGCAGACAAACACCTATTTAACAACAAGACGTGGCAAGAGTTTATTGGAAGGAAGAATGATAAACAACCACTAGGTGGAAAGCCTAGTTCAGAAGCTCTTGTTATGGTAAGACAAAAGTACTTCATATTTCTTAACCAGTACTATTTCTGTATCATTCCCATATTTAAAGCCCTAATTCTTTCTCACGAATTCAATTCTTGTAGGTAATTTGTTTTTACTGCTTCTGTGGGTGACACATTAAGGAGTTTTTATTACTTCATTATACAAACGACTTTTAGAAAGGTAGTTCTCACTGAAAATATTTCATGAGATTCTAGTCTAGGATGCCACTATCCGCAGATAATATGGGTACGAAGTTGAAGATTATGCACATGTTGATCAGTAGTACTTGTTAATTGCATCGAAATAACTTGACAGTTATGTAGCATTTTTCAGTACCTATTTGAGATTGAATTATTTACTAGGATCCGAAGATTATTTCAATCCATAAAGCTGAATTATTTAGATCATTTGATCCTTCAGGTCTAACTAGTTAATGGTACTAACCAATATGACAAATCTTTCACTATCAACCAGCATTCCTTTTTTATGAAGTGGATGCGTTACTACAAAGGATATCCTATTACTTTTGGGGTCGGTTTTGACTGCACTTGAGTCACATTTTATGTGCACATATTTCAATTTCCTGGTTAAAATACTCAGGAATTACTGCATTAGGTTTCATTTAGTCTACACAGTAGTGGAAATCAAAGAAACGAGAAAGGTAGTGGCGATAGATGACTGTCCAGACTTTAAAAAAGTATTAGAAAGTCATCAGATAGTGGATATTTATTTATTTATTTAAACATATATATATATATATATATATATATATATATATATATTGGTACAAAAGGGCACCAGATACATATGCGCCACACAAAATAATGAAAGTAGGAAGAGAAGGGATGAAAAGATAACGCGGACTAAAATGTACAACCAGAAGACTCTTTCAGTTAAGAAAGTTAGAACCACTCTTTATGTAGAAAGTAAAAGAAGGTTGCAGCAGGATCGCCACTGGCTTCTATTCTGAGCCATATCTGATAACGTCTCTAGCCACTGTGTTACACCATCTCTCGGACCCCAACCAGGGAGTCTTGAAGGACCAACAAAAGCTAGCCCTTTGCAGCTTTCTTTCATGCCGCGACACCATGTCATACACTGACCTCCTTTCCGCTTTTTCCAACCAGTCCCAGAGTCGGCAAATAATGCACGGCGTGGAAGTCTCTGGGAAGACATTCGTAAGACATGTCCAAGCCACCGAAGTCGGTGTTTCAAGATGGTGACACCAATTGAATTATCGTCTCTGCGCCCGAACACACGATGCCGAACCTCTGCATTACTAACATGGTGTTGCCACTGTATGTCAGCAATCCTTCGGAGACAACGATGATCGAACACAGAGAGACGTCTAACATCCTCAACTCGGAGAGGCCAGGTTTCACAAGCATAGAGCAAAACTGCTTTCACCAACGCGTTGTAGATCCGACCTTTTACAGCCAGACTAACATCACGAAGGCGTCAAAGATGGCCCAGATTGGCATAAGCCGCTCTGGCTTTCATTATACGTGCATCAATCTCATCACTCACTCCACCACCAGCACTTATGTAGCTACCTAGATGCACGAACTTCTCAACTACTTCAATCTGCTCACCATCCAGGGTGAGTGCAGGATGAGAATCCTGCCAGTCTTGTAGGAGTACTTTGCACTTGGAGGGTGCAAAGCACATGCCGTACCTGCGGACACTGATTGCCAACTGATTAAGTGTGGATTGCATGCCTTGGGCATTATCGCACAGTAAGACAATATGATCCGCATACTCGAGGTCAAGAAGTCTTTCTCCAGGCAACATATCCACACCGCCATTACTTAAATCCATCAGAGCTGTTTCCAGAATGTCGTCGATGGCAAAGTTGAAGAGGAATGGTGAGATCGAGCAACCCTGTCTAACCCCACTGCTCGAATGAAACAAGGGAGAAAGGTGGTTGTATGCCCTCACTCTGCCTGAGGTGTTCGTATACAGGGCCTTTAAGATGTTAATAAACTTCTCAGGCACACCCTTCTTCAATAGACAATCCCAGAGAACAGTCCTGTCCAACGAATCGAAGGCAGCCCTGATATCAAGAAACACTACGATTGTTGGCCTGCGATAAGTATGACGGTGTTCTAACATTTGGCGGTGTTTGAAGATGTGATCAATGCATCCTCGACCAGAACGAAAACCAGCCTGCTCCTCTCGAGTCAATCGTTCTCGGGTTTTAAACAACCTACGAAGAATGATAGAAGCCAATAGTTTGGACGCAATCGAAAGTAGACTTATCCCCCGGTAGTTATTGCAGGAACAACGTGAACCCTTTTTAAAGATAGGGACGACTATTGACTCATTCCATGATGTTGGAACACTTTCTTACTCCCAAACCTTTACAAACAACGCAGTCAGTTCCTTAGCCAGAAAGTCACCACCATCTTTAAAAAGAGCCGGATGTAAGTCATCTGGGCTCGGTGATTTGTACCGCCTCAAGAGTTGGAGTTCCTTGCGGACTTCCGCCTCGTTTGGTGGATCAGTCGTCACTGGCCATGGGGGGCAGGACAAACTGGTTGATGTTGCCGGAGCAGCAGGCCAGTTGAACTGCCCTTCGAAAAATTCCGCCCATCGTCCAAGACGTCGACAGATGTTAGTGATTGGCATCCCGTCATCCTCGTAGATTGTTTCACTCACACCAGACTTCTTGCTGCCAGTGGCTCGGATGAGTTGGAAGAGCTTCCGGCAGTTACCAGATGCAGCTGCTGCTTCCATCTCATTAGCACGCTCCGACCACCAGGCTTCTCGGTCCTTACGCAAGCTTTGCCCGATTTCATTACGTAACAGCCTTCGTTTGTGGTCAAACTCACGGTCACCCGGAGTAGACCGACGGGCTTCCATCAGTTGTAAGGAGCCAGAAGAAACCCAGTGCTTGTAAGCGGGACGTTTCGCGAAGCCGCAAGCGGCTTTACTCGCCGTTTTCATGGCGTCGTGAAGATGCAACCAATGCTCATCTATACTTTTCGGTGGGATGGTAGCTAGCCTAGAGGCTAGCTCCGCTCGATACTTACTTGCAACAGATGTTGCAGCCAGTTTACTAACATCAATCCGTTGGTGGTGGTCAATCCTTCGGCCACTGAAAAGTAAGGTGAGATTGGCGCAGACTAGGGCATGATCAGACTCCAGATAGGTACTCCAAAAGGAGCGGCAGTCTTGTACACAACCACGCCAGCGGTAGCTGATCGCGATGTGATCAATCTGAGTCCAGGCTTGGGATGCAGAGGGAGGACGCCAAGTGGCACACCGGCGATGACTGTGCCGGAAGTTAGTGCTGGCCAGAAACAGGTTGTGGTCTGTGCACAGTTGCAGCAAACGGTCCCCGTTATCTGTCCGGCGACCAACAAGTCCCCATCGGCCACCTAGACGACTCTCTTCTGTGCCTAGACGCCCGACCTGCGCATTCAAGTCTCCGGCTAGTACTACAATATCTGTCGAACGCGCTTTCTGGAGAAGAACTGTTAACTGATGTTAAAACTCATCCTTGATTGCATCCGGGCTGCAATCTGTCGGGGCATAGGCGGAGATGACGAAAAGACACCGTTTCTCACGCCGATTTCTTCTCACTTTGATGGAACTCTCTAATCTAACAGCACATAACCGACTGTTAATGGGGATCCAATCGATTAGTGCTGCCTCAGCTCTAGCGCTTAGTGCGACACCAACGCCAGCAAGACCAGACGAAGATGCCACAGGGTCCCCGGATAAGCGCTCGTGGAACAAGCACTTCGAGGCGACAGATGGAGAGCGGATTTGTAGTACTTCACTAGAGTCTTGAATACGGGTCTCGGATAGACAGCGAACATCAACATTAAGACCTTCCAAAGACATAGCCAGCCCTATCTGTTGTCTGATATGCATTAGTGTGCGAACGTTGAAGGAAGCCAGCTTGAACGGCGTACGTGGTTTCAGAAAGACTGCCTCAGTATTCATTATCGGTGGAAGCATTCACTTTCAACCAGACAGTGACTGGAGATCGTTTAGATAGGACAGAGTTTCCACCATGGGCGAGCTACTGCATAAGTTGGAAAGGAAGGATACACAATTTGGGAATAAAGGGAGTGAAAAAGCGACGTAGTAAATAATAATAGTGTAAATTGTCTTGCTTCTAGTATGAGCGAGAATAGTATCGTCAATAGAATTCATTTATTTGTGTGTGGGCTGTGATACTGCCCGGGTGCCCAAACCGAAGCAGGTGGTTTTCTTAGGGGGCCACACTCCGAGCCTTTGACCTAAAGGTCTGATCCACAAGGCATTGGAGCATCGTGGGGAGATGCAGTCCCATGGTAGCCAGTGACCAACAGCAGGTTCATTCGCCATATCGTTCCATCAGGATACTGGAGTCCATGTGCACCATTGGTTTGGAATCAGGGTTTTCCAACTTACCTAGGTGGACCCTCCGTGTCCACCAACCCGGTTAAAGCGCCGGACATTCGCTTTTCGTCCTCTCACTTTCGTAAACAACACCGCCGCCACGAGAAGGCTGTAAGTAGGACTTCCCTGGCAGAGGCTGTATATTCTCTGGCCATGTGAGAGCATTTCGAGAGGGAGAGTGGACTCTCCTCACTCTCGGTCGTACCAGGGCATTTGGGAGCGTTAGTGGAACTATGTCCGAAAAGATGGAATCAGTCTAGTTATCTGGAACAATGTGCGAAACGCTTAAAGGAAACAGTTCAACTGACCCTCAATTACTCTCCAGTTACCCATTATTCTTAAATAACATCAGTGGGTGATTGATATAAGTCATCTGATTCAGCGATTTTGCAAAGGCCGCAGTTAATCTAAATCAAAGGAGAGGAGCCGGATATGATCGACTACGTGTGGAGAAATCTAAGAATTACTGTTCTTTTTCAGCCTTTAATTTGACTGTGTTGGTTAAAGCCTGGTAGTTGGATGTAATCCTACATGGGTGCTGTCGATCACTGGTCGTTTCAGTTTATAAGCAAGGGTAAAAGTAATCTATTGATTTGATTTCTAATTTACCCTTGTTCTATATATATATATATATGATTATATACGAGGATAGCCAGGGTTTATATTTTGACAACATTCATACGATCTCCTGGAGTCAGATATTTGAGGGCCACCAAGTAGATATCACTGTTTTCACAATTTTTTCGATTACTTGCTACTTACGCCTGTTACATCTTGTGGAGGAGCATAGACCGCCCACCAGCACTCTCCAGACAATCTCTCCCAGTTCTTTCCACTTGCTATTCATCCTCTTCATGTCTGTCTCCAGTTCTCGGCGCAGTGTGTTATCAGGCCTTCCTCTTTCCCGTTTCCCTTCAGGATTCCAAGTTATTGCTTGCCTCGTCATGCAGTTCCGTGATTTCCACAATGTATGTCCGATTCACTTCCAATGTCTTTTCCTAATTTCCTCCTCAGCCGAAAGCTGGTTTGTCCTCTCTCATAAAAGGCTGTTTCTGATAGTATCCGATCAGTGAATGTTGAGTATTTTGCGTAGACAATTGTTTAAAAATACTTGTATCATCTTGATGATGGTTGTGGTAGTTCTACAAGTTTCAGTTTCATACAGTAGAACTGTTTTCACGTTCGTATGGAAAATTCTCACTTTGATATTGGTTGAGAGACAGTTGTTTTGAGTTCCATGTGTTGTTCAACTGTAGGAATTCAGCCGTTGCTTTGCCAATCCTCAAATTCACGTCTGCATTGGATCCTCCATATTCATAGATGATGCTACCCAGGTACGTGAATCATTCCACCTCTTCCAGAGTTTCATCATCAAGTGTGACCGAATGGCGTTCTCCGTGTTGTATTTGAAGATCTTGTGTTCTCCCTTGTGTATGTTGAGGCCTACTGACGCAGAGGCTGCTGCTACATTGGTTGTCTTCGTCTGCATTTGTTCGGGTGTATGGGGTAGAAGGGTCAGGTCATCTGTGAAGTCCAAATCGTCTAATCTATTCTGAGATATCCATTGTATTCCGTGCTCCCCCTTCAGATGTGGAGGTCTTCATAATCCAGTTAATCACCAGGAGGAAGAGAAAGGAGGAGTGTAAGCGGCTTCGTCTGATTCCGGTCCTTACTTAGAATGCATCTATCAGCTATCCTATATGCACCACTTTGCACTGTAGTCCGTCGTATGAATTCCGTGTGACGTTGGCGATCTTCCCAGGTACACCATAGTGTCGAACAAGTTTCTATGAGGTCAGACACCAATCCATTAGGGCTGATGGACTTCCAAGATAAGTGAAGTTGTCGACGCATTCGACTACTTCACTCCCTATCCTTAGTTCAGGTGTTGACGCAGGTCACCCCTGCATTTAGAGTGAGAGAAACGCATCCTAAACATCCTGACATTGTTGCTCAGTGCTACAAAAACACTTTGCATTTTGTCAGCGTCTTCACCAAACAGGACTATGGCATCTGCGTATTTTAAGTCGATAAGTGGAACTCCTGAAAGGAGATCAATTCCTGAAAATCTAGTCGACGAGAACGTCATTTCAAGCAGTAGGTCTATGATGAAATTAAACAGAAATGGAGATGGCGAACAGCATTGACGCACATCACTTGAGGTTAAAAATCAGACAACGGTTCACCATAAGCTCTCACTCGACTGGTAATGTTCGAGTAAAGAGCCCTCACTAGGTTAATGGAGCAGGTCTATTCAAGATTTCACCGAAGTATTCTACCAATCTTTTCCTCTGTTCTTCAATCTCTGTGATTGTCTTTCCTTCTTTCTCTTTGACTGGTCTCTCTGGTTTACTATATCTCCCTGCTAGTTTCTTCGTTGTATCATATAGTGGTTTCATATTCCCTTCTCTTGCAGCTTTTCTGCAGTTGTCGCTAGTTCTTCTATGTATTTCTGCTTCTCGGCTTTGATGCTCTTCTTCACTTGCTTGTTTGCTTTGGCGTACTCTGCTTATGCCTTAACCTCCTATGTTCTTGTTCGACTGTTGTTAATTGCTGTCTTCTTGTTCTTCCTTTCTTCAATCTTGTCTAGGGTTTTCATAGAGATCCAATCCTTATGATGTTGCTTGTTGCGACCCAGAATCTCATGACACGTTGAACTTAATGCTTCTTTGATCCCTTTCCAGTTGTCCTTTATCGTAGTTTCTTCATTCAGTAGATCTTGGAACCGGTTTTTGAGGGTTATCTTGAATTCGTTGTGTTTGTCAGTATATCGAATGAAGGCTGTGTTAAACCTTTGTAATTTTGTTTCCTCAGTTGTCCTTTGTTTCTTTAGCTTCACTTTCATCTCGATCACAACCAGTTTGTGGTGATTTGAAGCTATGTCAGCTCCTCTCCTGGTTCTCATATCTTTTATTGTCCTTCGGAATCTTTTGTTGATACAAATATGATCTATCTGGTTCTCTGTGGTGTGGTCCGGCGAGATCCATGTAGCTTAGTGTATGCGTTTGTGTGGAAATATTGTTCCGCCTATAACTGATTTGTTGAATGCACATAGGTTTGCAAATCTCTCCCCATTTTTATTTCTCTCTCTCAGTCCATGTTATCTTATTATATCTTCATATCCATTGTTGTTCATTCCGACTTTGGTGTTTAAGTCTCCTCTCAGCATGGTGAGGTCCTTTCTTGGGCTCTGCGTTTCGATTGATTGCAGCCTCTCATAGAACTGATCTTTATTGTGGTCGTTGTTATCATTGGTGGGTAACATTGGATAACATTCATTATGATTTTTTCCTTCTTTGTTTTGAAGGGTGCATTGATGATCCTGGGTTCATGAAATTCCTATCTTATAAGTGCACTACGTGCTTCTTTGGACAGTATCAGAGCAACTCCCTGAGTCTGTAGAGCATTTTTATCTTGGTGACCGGAGTACAGCAGCATCTCTCTCGAATCTATCCTTTTCTATTCATTTTGGGTCCAATAGATTTCACTTATTCTGGGCATCGTCAAGTTGTACCTCCTCATTTCCGTAGCTATTTGATTGGTTTTCCCGGTCTCCCACATTGTCCGGACGTTCCATGTACCTATAAAAATTGTTGCTCTGGTCGTTAGAAGGGTCATCGGCCTCGTGACTCCCGAAAAATATCGTCTTTCATCTTGAGGCGTCATAATTCTTCCTTCAACTCCCAGGGTAGAGTTTAAATGTTCTAATTTTTAAAAAATCTGGTTGACGTTTTTTTAGCAATATTTTTTTTCTACGGGATAGGTTGCAGACCCCATGCCTAACTCTCCTTTACCTGGTCTTGGGACCGGCAGTAACTCTAGAAGAACTACAGGCGGAGTTAATGTGTTCTTTGGTCTTCTTCTTTTCCGTTTTCCTTCAGGATTCCAAGTTAGCGCGTGTCCCGTGATCGAAGAGAAATGACACGAAGTACAGAAGATGGTTTCGGCAGCTCTTAAAAAATTGTCACTAAAATATTGATTGGATATCTGAGACTCTTCTCTCAAATTTATGTCATTAAATTTCGGTGTTTTTTTCTATTATTATTATGATTATTATCTTGCTTCATCAAAACACTCTGTTGGTATATTCACTCCCATACTTATATGTACTGATTGATGATTATGTATGAAATCCAAAATACGTACCTGTTTTTTTTAAACAGCTGTATAGATATACCTGGATTCTAGCAAGTATTGAGCGACTCTTAGTAGAAAATTCTATATTTTATTTCTTTTTTAATCACTAGGAAAATGTTTAATCCATATGTACATTTTTTTAGAGACGTTTTTGTTCAGTCAGTGTTAAATTATTATCATTGTTTACTCAAAACTAATTAACTTCGCATCTTTTTGTCCCAGCAGTTTAATCTACTTTTGTATTATTTTGAAACTTTTAATGCAAATAAAGGATCTTGATTGGCTCTCGGAAACTAGTTTAAACAGTTTACCTGATATTTATCGTTTGTATTGTAAAAAAGAACCACCACAAGATAAACAATTGAGATCAATTTTCGAATCTGGAACTATTGAAGATGTTCGTACAAATTTTCAGGTAACTACTGTCACATCATATTTGTTTTCTTTATCATAACATTCAATCGTCTTATATGAATAAATTAAGACTGTATGTTTAAAAAAACCCAATTTTAGTTGATATCAGTTTTCGGATGAGTTAAACTCATCTGGATGCCAACTCAATGGTCTAGAGGTTAAGCTTTCGCTCCCGAGATTGAAGGTCTTGGATTTGATTCCCTTATGTGGTATAAAGGATGCGCACTGTTGAGAAGACAAAACGATCGTCCACTACTTCCAGGTTTGAGATGATGGCCTAACGTTAATCAGTTCATGATTTTAATAGAAATTCAACAATCTCCACAACCCCGTGCTTAGACTGATTAGCCTAATTGATTTCTCACTGCGAAGGATATGTTGTATCCATAAGGGTTCATAGACAGCGTGACCAATAATCAAAGTCTTCTTGTTAAACACGTTTAACTATCTATCGTTTTATTTTACGAAGTGCCAGGTTATTAAGAATATTGTTTCCATAAAAACTAAAATAAAGTGATTATTTCACTTTGTCATACTACAGTCAAGAATTTACTTAATATTTATCGCTGCGAAAAATCAAGGATTATATACATAGCTTTTCACCATGAATATGTGAAATAATGAGACACATTATTCACTCATATATATGACGTGCAGTTTTGTGAATGATCGTTATTTAAATGTAACTGAAAAATACTTATTTATTAGATTGTTGGAAATTAATCAACTCCATAAAACTACTATTTGTTCGGTATGATTTTACGTTCTGTTCCATTTTCCTTGATGCTATAATCGGTTTTTGCTGACTAAATGATATCATCGGCACATTCAAAGACTACTACTAAAAAATGATAAAAAGGGGGAACAAGATTTACGTATATATGCACATATATATTGACTGATGACAGAAGCAGTTTATTTCCAGATGGATAAAGGTAGCCAATTGTTCACAATTAAAGAGATAAGAAGGAATAATGAATGTGTTCGATTGTAGCAAATTTTGAATTGTGTCACGTGAGTTGTTCAACCACGGATTTCTATATATCTGGTGTCTCCCTGTACCAATATTTATGCGTTCAAATAGATAAATAAATAAATTATCCTAAACATCTACGGCAATCTCAGGACTTCAGTCAGTCATAAATAAAAGGATCTGGGTCAAATATTGATTGGTTCAAGTTGTTACACCTCAGATTAGCGCAGTGAAATAATGAATTATCACAAGAGGAAACAAACAAAGTCGAAATAATGATAGATAGAATGTGTCGAACAGTGGAATCCAGGACACGTATTCCGTCCCATTTGAAACTCGTCAGTTTCATGTACCTTGTAGTGCCGCGATTCGTTAATCGTTTACTTCGATAACCGTTATAATTCTAATCTTAACTGTGCGTAAAATCAGAAGACAAAGGATAGCAGCAACTACAGTTTATTGTCGAATAACTCAGGTCAGAAAGTTAACACCTGAGCGAATATCAACGAGCGAGTGAGCGGCAAGCGAGAGAGATAGTGAACAGGCGAACAAGCGAAGGAAACGAACGAGGAGCAAGCGCGCGAATAGCAAGCAATTACATAGGTAATTTATAGTCAAATTTAATAAGGGCACAACAAACCAAAACAAAGGCTGATAATAATATTTGCGTGCGTGCATATATGGGGAGGAGTATGAGTCATCGAATGATATTTAAGCAGTCAACATTTCGGATAGAGTGTCATGTGCTCTAGTGGTATAGCGGTTCGAAGAATATGCAAATTGTTACTATCCAAATGACGATGTCTGTTAAGTAAGTTATAAAAAGGGCTTAACCAAAATTGGCTATAATCGAAATTGATTGTAGGATGGTTGCTATAACCTGTACCAGAGAGTTGATGTTTAGTCTGGGTCTGGAACCGAGTGCCATTCGCCTCAAACATATACCAAAGTGTTATCCGGACAGTTCAACAGCCATATATACAGATGTCCATGTTATTATATTATATTACTTTCAGTTGAGATTGTAAAGATTCTTTTATAAACCTGTTCTCGTTATCCTACAATTGAATTGAGGTGTTGTTGTAGTCGTATATTCGTCTCCATCAAGAGAGAGTAAGGATTGAATGGCTTTTATCCGACTTGGAGGATAGTGATTTTTAGCAGTCCACATCTTTGTATATCTTCCATCTGTGATTAGCCGTGTTGGAGTACCCAGTTTTTGGAATATTGTGATCGTGTTCTTATTTCTGGATTGTTTGGTATGCCAACGGGAATGGGATAGCACACGACTTTACTGTTGTTTGTTGGGTTGAGAGAGGCTTGTATGCTGTATGTATGCTGCCCACCCTGTTGTGGTTCCAATTGAGTTCTAGTCTTGCTCCACTTATTTTACTTCGTGCAGTTCGGTAGTATCACTGACTCTCCCATACACATCTAAAGTGTGTCTCTGTAAGGCGAGTACAGGAATCTGTATTTGGTCAGTTGTGATTGATTTTAGTTGTGCGTGTATTTCTGTTTGTTTTAGCTTATGTACTCAACGGAAATGATAGATAGATGCTTGTAGTTTTCACCATCATACTGGTCTTGGTCTAGTTAGTTTCGTTTTTATTTCTTTTCTCGTTATTATAACAGCATTGGGGGGAGGGGGGAGGGAGGTGTCTGTAATATGGAAACAAAAAGAATGGGAATCGGCAAAATAGCTTTTGGTGTTTAACGCATTGGTTTAGAATTCTTCGTAAAGATTGTTTTTATTATGATATAGTGATAATGACAGTGTTAAAGGTATGAAATGCCTAGTTTGTTCCATGCAGATTGTACGTGACACGTAAATGAATGAGTTGTTGTCTCAATCTCCCTTGTTCGCAATAAAGTGTGAATGAAATCAATCTATTAGTATTTCGCTGCATAATAGGCTAGGTGGTGAAGTACGGATGCTGAGATAAATGATGATTTTCAGTGATGTCTTGTTGATATTTTCGTGTTATAAGTCGGTTTGTTTGTTGCTTCAAGGCATTTGTTAAGGATGATTTTGTGGGTGATAATGAATTTTCTATGTAAGTATTTACTTATATTTGATAAGAACTGTGAAAGTAACTTGTTTCGTTAATGTATATTGACGTTCAGTTTAATGAGGTGATGTGGTGAATGTTTTCTAAAATTGGGATTTGAAAATGGATAATATGTCTTGGAAAATACATGAAGTTCTTGGAGAAAAGCAGAGTAAGTTAAGGTTTTATTGATTTTGTTGTGAGATACTTTTAGTTTCTAGAGATTCTGTTAACGGAATGAAAGTGATGCAACAACCACAGGGTCACTTATTTTATCGTTTTTGAGTTGCCATTATCTACAGACTTTTAAATTAATAACTATTTCACTTAGGAATTGTTCAATTACTGTGCCGTGGATGTACTTATGACGTATGAAATAATACAAGTTTTGTGGCCTATATTTAAAGAGAGGTAAGCTAGTTTACCTGTCTGAGTACATTTAATGTTCTGATCAAATATATTTTCCTCCTTATATATATATATATGATGAAAAAATAAATTGTATGCCTGGTAAAATGATTTTCTTGCTTAAAGAAGCCTTCAAGTATATTTCTGTCTACCGTTGTCGCAATAAAATACATTTTCCATAATCACCATGAATCCGGTATCTAAATTCGCCATTATATTTGTCCATCATTCACGACGTAGAATCTGTACGCATGTAAATCAGTTCAAGTTTCCATGCCCCATAAGCACTGAGAGATGAAGTTTCTAGGCCAAACTACAGAATAGTAGAAGTAGTAACAGTATCTGTGGTATTGAGAAAGATTAGACATCGAAGATACGTTTCGAGAATATAAATTAGTGAAATAAAAACAAAGAAAGAGGTTATAAGGAATTGAGAGTCTCAGAATATGGGGGAAGGCAAGGAATCGATGCACCTGCGCCATTGCAAATGATTTTGATCCATGTCACTAAAAGTCTTTAACTTTTGTTTATGATAATTACTCGAACCCCTACCAGGTAGTCTACGCATGGCCAAGTTCAATTGTCATTGATTTCATGGACTGATGTCCTGTTTCAGTTTGGCCAGAGTATTCGTGATACTGTTAAATTTTGAATGTCCAGTTTTTATTACGAATATATGTATTCATGTATTCATGCTTTTTAATTATGTCGCACTTCAGTAGGCTTTGCTATTGATATATACATATTATATGGACATGATATGTAGGTACGTAAAATCCCTCCTGTATTAGTCATTTTCGCGAATACTAAAGTAATTTTGATTGGTGCTATATTTCATGACTAAAACAATTATCAACTTATGCCATTAAATGATGATTATCAAGTGTTATATAGCAAGTTGAATGAAATTAGCGACGTGATCTATTAAGTTTAAATCAATTAATTAAAAGATATAAACCTTTTCATGATGTCTTTCAAGTTTAAATTCCTATCTAGTATTGTGTGGTCGTGATCACTGGTTGTTAAAGGTTCGTTAAACTAATAGAAAAACAATTACCTATGTGATTTGTAATTTTTTTGTACTTTTGTTAATGTCACATCATTAACGAAAATCATTACCAGAGTGGAAAAATCTAAAAAACACCACTAAACGATGTTTGATACAAATTTAGCTGTTATTCTTGTTCTTTAAGTGTTATTACTTAAGTTGTACCTGGTAGTAGTTTGTGATTTACTAAAGTCTTTGCCATCACTGCTTATATTAGCTCATCACATTATATGGTGTAGATAAAATCTCTTTTTTTCTCTCTCACCCCCATTATCGCTCTTTCTCTCCCTTTTGTAGATTTCCACATCCTGCAACATTTTGTGGATTACTAGAAATGAGTAGTATGTATTTACCAATTAATGATAATTGGATTAAATTTCAAGAAAAAGCAGAATCATCATATACGGAAAATATATTAAGACAAAAGAAATTGTTGATGCAATTAGCTGATCAAGCATTGGCTAAATATTCTAATAGTCAAGAGTAAGTTATTATTATTCTTATTCTTATTATTATTATTATTATTATTATTATTATTATTATTATTATTATTATTATTATTATTATGTCATTAGAACACAATTAATATGAACGAAGAATATTCTTTAATATTTTATCATCAGGCTCTACTGTTATATATCCAAATTAATCATCTATAAAATTGGTCAAGTTTAAGGTAAAGTACACCATTTAAAATCATAACATGTGAACTAAGGATTGTTGTTTGTCATATAAAATCAAATCAAATCGTTAATATTTGAGTGACTAATATAAAGTGTTAACTTGAATCAGTTTATAAGTGAAATGGAATTGTGAGATAAATAATGACCAGCAGAAGTCCCCCGCAGAGACCCTCATGGGAAGAAGGTTGAGGACTATCCACAATTTGATGCTACCGAAAACCACACCACGGCCAGCGCAAACTACGTCCCAGAAGCTACCCACGTACAAGGTTGGATGCCCAGTATTCGCTAGGGACTACAGAGCAAATCATGATCCTTGAATTGAAGCGCGTGTGGTTAGAAATGTAGGTAAAGTCATGTACGAGGTTGAGGTAGGAGCAGGCAGGTGGACTAGGCATAGAAACCAACTACGCAAGCGTTCAGCCCCAGCGCGCCCACCGGCCGAAGGAAAGATCCCGCTGGACATATTGTTGGATACGTTTATTCTGCCGGTAGCCCCTACACAAGAAGAAGCACAAAAGGTCGATCTACGGTCCAAAAGATGGTCACTGAGCCAACGGCGACAGACAGAATGCAAGTGGACCCCAAGAATGTCCATTATTAAAAAGGGGAGGTGTTGGGGATGTCAAAACCCCAGAACTTACTTGATAAATGGCTTAATTTTGTAATTTTATTTTGAAAATTTGAATTTAGCCGTTTTTGCGCCAAAAGCGCTCTTCTACCTTCACGTCATATTTCCCACTTGTAAACTATCTTAAATGCTATTGGTCCAATGTTTCTTTGAGTGTGCTATTTTATAATGATGCCCAAGGACAATTTGTTGCTGTATATATACGTTTGACTTTTTCCCCTTATGATTGCTGTGCTTCTGGCTGCTACGGAATATATTTTCCCCGCTTCCAATTTGGACTTCTTACTCTAGTTAGCTGGGTCTGGGTCGCATCAGAATAGCGAGTAAGGTATTGGTGTTCCCGATTGGCCTACAGTAAATTTTATTTACGATTGACTAAGACTTTTTTGATATTATGCAGCAAATAGGAATTCAATTAGACCGGACGTGTACAGTACAACGCTTTAGCATACACTAAAAGAGTAGCGGAGACTTTCAGGGTAACGTTCTGTTGAGTACGGAAGTCAAAAACGGAAGAACTGAATGAAGCTAGATGGGGAATTACGGCGTTTATGACTGTGGTCGACTACATAATTGACAAGATTGATTATATATTGTAAGGTATTATTTGTCAATTATCCAGTGACGATTATTTGATTTCAGCATACTGATTAAACATTCACATGATATATATATATATATATATATATATATATATATATATCAAATAGACAGTCTTTATAATCTAATTGAACAATTGTATAGTTTTCCTCTTATATTTCATATTGTAATAGCAATAATGATAATCTGTGTAATCCCAATTTTTACTTCAAGGTATAAAAATGATCCATGGCTGTGGGATTTGGATTGGTCTAAACCTAAAGTCAAATGTGTTAGTTTACTCATTGTTTAATTAATTCCTTGCTTGTTTGTTTGTTACTATTGTTGATAGTGAAATAACTTGGTCACAAAAACGTGTTATGAATACTACTTTTCTGGTTCTCTTTTTATCATCATTATGCTTATTTTGCGTAGTTACCTTTTAAAAAATATCATGGTGAAGAGTCAAAATCTTCATGTTGGTGATGTGGTGTGAAGCCAATTTTTCTAAACTAAATGAATAGCAGCCTATACATACTAAAATAAATAACGTTTGATATAATTTATGTGTTCGTAAATGTGAAACTGGATATTGAACAGTATCGTAAAAATCAAGTGTTATATATACATAGTATGAATTGGGCAATCTTTAACTTCTTTTATTCTAGTAAAAAAAGAAGTATTACATCTCATGAGACGTTTTTCAGATTGATTTTAATAAGAGTACCATGTAATGCACATTTTATTGTCCGTTTAAATTGTTTTGATGAAGCGAACAGGATTTAGTGTTTGCTCTACATTTCCACAGTGTTTATGTGATTATTGTTGATTATAGTCCTGTAGAGCATTTCAGTGAATGTCCTAAGGTTATTTTTATTGGTATGACGGGATACGAGAATGATAATACTTTATTCAATGTTTTTTGCGAATTTCGGCCGGGATGATAAGTGCTGACTTCGTTCAATGTGACATTTTAAGGTCAATATTTTCTCATATCAATTCAGTATAAACTTTGTTCTGTATGACAGGCGCGAATCCTCGTTAAGTGTGACAATTTTATTCCATGTATTAATTCAGGTGAACTATATTGGGTGTGATTTTAGATTTCATTTTAAGGCTTGTTTGGAGACGTGCTTTTGAGGAGCCAGTAAATCTTGATTGCATTAGTCTTTTGTGTTCCCACTTTGGGTCGCGGAAATTGTAGTGGTTCGCGTTCCTCACTCTAAGCAATAGGATTAACAAATTACGCTGATTCTCGATCGTCAGGTAATAATAAATTACAATAAAAATTACAATTGTTATTACTATTAATAGTAATGGTAGTAGCAGCAAAAAATCCTATGCAAAGAAAGTTATTAGTCAATGAATTAAACCGTAAGACAACTCGGTCACATACATTATATCTGTCGAATGATTGTTTACCATTATTATATGATTACAGGAATACCTTGTTTATGAGTGCCGAATAGCACAAAACCCAAATTCAAGTTATCCTATCGACTATCTCAAATTATCTAACATCAATGTATAATGTTATGTAAAGCAATTTTTAGACTTTATTAGAGTTAAAGATAATCAGATCCTGATGAAATGCTAGTTCATAAATTGTATAGATTTACTCGATGAAATTATATTGTGATGGTAAATGGTTAAAGATTCTAAGTGGCTTTCACTTCGAATCGTTTACAGTGTAGTGTGAATGCATTCATTTTTATACTTTGTTGTTAAATCTGAAAATTTTTATGAAACATATCGTTTTGTTGCCTTTCTCAGTTTGTATTATGTTTATTTATATACAAACTTCTGATTTTACTATCAATGATACTGCTGCTATTTCTACTCAGTTCTCATTTTATTAATTTTTTTTCTTCGTTAGTCTGATGCAGTGTTGTAACTAGGACCAGTGCATGTTTCAAGTTCTACATCTCTTATTCAACTCGAAGCGATTTCTTTAAGATAAATATTTCTGTACTGAAATATGAGTTATAGAAAGATGGATTAAATAGTTCACGTTAGCCTGTATCTAAAACTTTTCAGGTTATTCAACCTTCAACTTGTATGTCAGTGAAACACTAGTTATTTACTTCTTTAAAATTGAATCTGTTAGTTAAACTGTAGCATAGAATTTAATGATAATGAGTTCTCTTCTTCATTCAATTAAGTCCAACTGTAGATTGTTAATCAAGCTACAAGTTGTAAGGTATGTTTGCATTGACTTTATCTCAATCATTTTACTTTTCTTAAAGAAGCAAATGTTTTTGATTGTTGATATGATTTCGATGGATTACCAAAGTCTATTTATACCTAAACTCATTTGTCTATGTGCCCATTTGTTGTATAAAGTTTGCTTCAAAATAATGCTATCCAGTATTACTACTCTTTAGTTTTTTGCGTTTCATCCTTATCGTATTTGTTTACTGATGTTTGGATGCCTTATATGTAAATATTTTGAGATTGGTGTGATTTGCTTTTTTTTGTAAAATATGAATTTCATACGATAGTTATCACTACGAATTTCGCTCCCACGTACAGGGTTTAGTGATAATTTTAAATGTTTGTTTACTATTTTTCTTTTCATTACAGAAGACTGAAGTTGACGAGAAGGTGTCTCGTCTTCCTAAGTGAGTAGTATTTTTACATTACACTTTATTTTGGTCATCAACAGTTTTTTACTAGGATTTATTAATAGTTTGTGAATTTTAGCAGGCAGTGGAATCCAAGACGTTCTCTCGTCCTATTTGGACCTTTTCAGCTGAATATATCTATATGCTAGTGTTGATGTTCACACTCAGGCTTAAATCCAGTGCTTATCAATTAAAATGCCAACACGCTATGTACCATGCGACACAATCCAGTTAGTTATTAGTCCAACTGGTATAAAGTTAATTTGGAATGGTGTCTATTTTCCCATTCTCTAACATGGTTGCCATCGGTTTCTGGTCTGTGCTGTCTAATATGATCATAAGTAACTTGTTTGTATCATCTGTAGGACGCTAACCAGAGTCATAATAAACCGATAGGTTTCAGCCTTATACAACTTTCTCTCATACTTCAGCACTATATCATAAACTAACCAACTGTCCACTTTTTCCATCCAGTCCTAATGTGGTGTGTGCTACTGATGTCGACAGATATAAGTAGCATGCATTACCAATCGAGAGTGGAATACCTAGTAGCAGAAGGTTGAAAAGACCGAAGAGATGAGAACGAGAACGCAGAGTGGTATGGAAACGAAGGAACAACAAAGTATGAGGCAATTGATGGCTATTTTGCAAATAAAGTACTTGCTACATGGTTCTCAGATTTTACCAAGATTTTATGTAATGGTGTATTTGAATACACTTTTGTTTTCCCCACTGGCGTTCTCGTTCACTACACTGGTGTTGACAAATAAAGCACAATATGTCAGATGAGTTCATATTTTTACGTTTTCTATAAGAGTTTGTTTAACACAGTTGTAAATTTTAAAAAAACAAACTACATAACTATATTATTTAATTATTTAGATGGTATAGAGATTTAATTCCAAAACCAGTTAAAGATAATTTAGACTCTGGACCAGCTTTATTAACTGCTCAAATGCGTATTGCACCAAAATTATTAAAACTCTGCTGGCAAGGTCTGCCGTTGCATTATGATCGAGTAAGTGATTACTTTTTTATACATAGTTTGTTTTCCTTTTTTGATGACCCAATCTATAAAACACCGATGACAACAACAATAGGAAACTGTCTAATTAATTGGATTTATACTTCATTTCATTTGCCATAAATATTTTATAATATGTTATAAGCATCCACAACAGCTTATTGGCCATATTAACTGATACGATGTTAATTGTAAAGCGGTAGTTGATAGGAAACCCTGCACTTATGTTTAGTGCTATTTGACGCTCGTCAGGAAAATGTACCTGGAAAACTCGATCCCATGTCACCGAGTTTCACAATCGGAGATATTACCACTAAGCTATTCTGACCGCGACTGAGATATATGTGCAACTGATCAATAAAAGTTTACTAACTAACACTTCGTCATATATTACAATAAAATACTTTCATAAGTCGTCTCCATATTTTTGTTCCTTCCAGTAATATCCGATATGTCGATTTTACTGGAGATTTAATCATACTTTTTAGTTTCAAAATACATCTATTTTAAAATGAAGGATTTGTTTTGTGTTGAATTATAATTCGTCTGTTTTAGTGATTATTCCTAGCTGTTGAGTTAAAAAGTTGTTATCGTTTCTACGGTTTGTTTCAATATGATTAAATCAACCATTTTAATATAAGTTTTGTTATGTTTAACTTACCAAAAAAGATTCACGGTATACACCAATGTTATACTCCGACTTACTTTTTTGACAATATTTCATCAGTTTTTTTTAACAGCCTAAATTCATTGTTAGATTCCCTGGAATAACGCACCTGAGTTCAACTAAAGTATTGCTATTTTCTTGCGATCATATATAAATAATAAATAATTGCACAATAAATGACTAGGTTAAGTTATCAAACACACATTCAAAGTGATAAACTCAATAGTATCAGTCAACTCGACTCGATGAAAATGGAAATGACTATTTCAATATAGCCGGACAGGCAAAATAACATCGTATAATTGACTAAAGAAATTTATATGATAAAAAATCTGATTACTTATGTTTTATACAATTATTATGAACAAATCTCATAATCATCTATTGTGGCTATTAATAAGTCTTCTACTGAAACGCTTATTACTACGTTCCTAGCCGCTTCCTATAACCTCACACTACTCGAGCGATAGAGAAAAGGGGCGAAATGTAAGTAACGGCTTCATTCCAAGGCTAGTTTATGTACAGAAATTCGAGAGATGGATTTAACCTTCGTCTTCTAGAACTTTTTGGAAACACATTAACTACGGCAACGATGTATGTACTTATCCAATCTAAAAAATGGCACATGATCCCTCATTTTTTTAGATATTTCTAAGAAGTTTTTATTCGATGCTATTTGAATAAAAAAATTCCTGACATCTGGGCTTCTAAAGACCTTGACGAAAAAATATTTTTGGATTACTTCAACAGTTATAAATTATGTTTTGTAGATCTGTAATTTTTATAAAATTTCATCTTTTTATTATATGTATATTAGGTGCTCAAATGGGGTGTTCTCATACCTGGACGTATTCCACAACCCTACGGTGATCCACAATATTACATTGAGTCATTTAAAAATACTGAAAATACAGAATGTATTGATTCTAATGATGCAGAAAAGTTTTCTACAAACTCTAATGTCTTATGTCATTATGATTCCTCAATTCGTCCAATTATACCTGTTGTTAAATCAACAGCTGCAGGTGACGAAACACTTGATTTTCCCTATGGGTAAGTGTTACATTCTTGCTTAGTCTGCTCATTAATACACAGGAGAGAACCTGTCTTGAAAAAGGTTTACGCCTTGATACGATAGGCTAACTAGTCCCACCTTGATGCTAGTTATGTATGAGTCCGAATTTTGGCTAAACGGCTTTGGTGAGAGAGACGAGGACAAAATATTTATTAACTTGCTTATAAAATCAAGGTATAAGGTTGGATTGGACTAGTTTTTAAAAAAAAGAATTAATTCAAACCCATTTATGACTGATTATCGCAGAGTGAGTCGTTAACGTTGTTGGTTAGTGCATTTCTTTTCAAATTGTTGGTCAAAATAAATAGAACGTCTAAGGCACGTTTGTAAGACAGTCACTACTTTTCAATGAATTCGTGCCCTTAATTCGGTCTATGTGTCACACAAAAAAGGAAATTATCGGTTTGATGAGCCTAATCAGCAGTAAATTTAAGTTTTTGGTAAAATGTTTAGTTTTGGTTATTTGGCTAGTCAGTTATTTAATCAGTTAGTGAATTGAAATATATCTGATCTCCAAAAAACAAAATATTCGTTATGTTTTAATGTGCACTATGTTAAAAGATTCGTAGTGCCTTCACTAAGTACGAGGTTCTGTAATCATCTGTAGAAGGTAGTGAAACTATCTTACTGGCTGAACTAATATAGATTGAGTTGGGTTATATGTCTGAAACATATTGATTGAAAGCTATGCACTTCAACCATATCTTGTTACATTTGTTTAGCATTTATAGTCAAGAAAAGTGGAATATCTGTATTTTACTATCTAAATTGTGTTATATTTTTCTTTCATTTTCTATTCATTTGTATAGAGCTTATTTAAATTATTGGTTAGCTGATGTAAAACGTCGTCTATTAGCAGATTTTCAATTAAACGAATCTACGTCATCATGTGATAACTTTTCAGATAGTTTAGCAGTTGCTTATTCTCATCGTATAAAACCAGATATTCGTGATGCGAATTTACTAGATGAATTAAAACGTAGTATTGAAATTATGCCTTTGGAAAAAGAAGAACGTCAACGACTGGCGTCTACAATAAGTACTATACGTAAATTAGGTGAACAAAAACGATTTCAAATGGATTCCAAGTTACAGAAAATAAAGAACAATGTAATTGATTTATTTAAAACATAGTTCCGATTCATTTAGTGTTGTTAATTCTCGTGTTTTACAATGAATGTGTGGTCATGAAGGGGAAGCGGTTGTGTTAGTGTATGTGCCTTGTGCTAACAAGACAATCAATAAGACACTATTGTCGATGTGATCTGGATGAAATTTTAACATAATCAACAAGTTATTTTTTACACACTGTTTATCAGTGAATAATCGGGTTGATTATCTCAGAGGTTTTCTGTTCTTACTCATCTGCCTCACTGCTAAAAATGTTTGAGAATTCCGATTATGCTTTCTGTATTGTCGAGTTTTTATCGTCAATTAATTCATCGAAGCTATCTAAGGAAATAATTTATCTCTTGATGCAATTAAATTCATCAGCCATGGTCTTAAAAGTTATGTTTGAAGAGCATTTATGAATTTTATCATTATTTATTGGAAAGGTGAAAAATAAATAACATTAAAATTTTAGTTATAGGTGAGTAGATGTTCACGGAACTAAAACAAGGGTTTCCAATTCCAATGTTATCTATATGAAGTAACAGCTATATTGTCTAACAGTTGCTGCTAACTACACATTATCTACTGTTGGGTCTGTATCGTCATCTCATCATATGCAATAAATTGTCTGGTATATTGTTTAGTGTAGTAATGTCATTGGGACCAATGATATATTTATGAATTAATTATCGTTGGATTTGTCAAAAAGCACCAATGTCTTTTTTCCCGTTTCATAAGTTCTAACCAATTTATGTATATTGCAAATTCCGATGAACGTTTATATACATATTACTAGTTTTTATTTTCTTTTTAACTTACCAAACTTTCTAATTTAGACCTAACAACTATCAGACAGATTTTTGTGTTATTCTGTCGGTGTTTTTTCCCATTTTCATTGTATATATTATGTACGTATTTATTTTCTATATTAAGCCACAATTAACTTATAATCCATTATAAATTAATTTGTTTTCCCCTCTAGAATCACAATGAATTGATTTATGAGAAAGTGGGTGAATTACAGGTAATCTATTCTTCACATTTATGTAGAACAAAATATTTTACCATGCTCTTATTTGACATTTTCCCATTTTGAAAAAATTGTCCAAGAGTGGTAGTAAAAAATTGTTGTTTTAACTTTTATCGCTTATATCATGGGCGACGGAGTAGCTTTTCAGGGATAATTTGGTTGCTTAGTTTCAACAATAAATTAAGTAACAACTATATATGTGTAAAATTTAATATTATTACCAGAAATTTTTTTATTGACTCTGAAGTTTTGTTTCTTGTAACTTTATTATAATGAATTTTCTACTAGAATATTATTTTAATTTTTTTGAAACTGCAGGGATTAGCTTTCTCTTATAAGTTGTGAAACATTTCCCTATCCCTATACTAATCTGACATTTTTACAATTAGCCAATTTCCAGTGAATTGCTTGTTTTTTGTTCTTTTTTATGTAAAGTAGAAATTTTCGAAATATATATAAGATTGATAAATGACAGCTGTTAAATATTAAGCAAATTCTGATTTAATAAGTAGAATTTTTACGGATCGGCATATCAAAGTTGTTCGTCAGTATATCTTTTTAACTCACTTTAATCAGCTGATATAAGAAATGAGATTCCTATTTTCTGCTAGTTCGTTTAATTAATTTGTCGATAAGTATAAATTAACCGAGTTAGCATATATGTGCCTGGTCCTACGTTGTAGCTGACTGACTGACTGAACCGAGTTAGCTACATTTCCATGTTCTTTCACATTTTCATACATTCCTTAATTTTGCTTGACTGAAAGCATAAGAAAAGCATCGTTTCCTTAAAAAACAAAAGCCAACCTTCAAAATTTGTAAGAATAACCGTTTGACATATTGAAGTTTATCAAATGTCCTCTCTTCAAGATTCTGATGATTTTTAATTCTTCTAGTTTATAGTCGAAAGCTGCTTGATTACTATATAGTGACTCTAAACATAACTATCACAATCTCTGGGCTTTTACAATCGGCAATTATTATTATAAAGTTCATAATTAAAATTGCAGTTAGCGAACCCAGGGGAGCTGTTAGCAACTCAAGTTTTGTCGAGATGAAATACCTTCCGAATTTCGGAATACATGAGTACTTGCGGTATTGTAAAACAACCTCTCAAGGAAATATGTCATCTTAAATAGTAATTATATTTGTCCATTAAACTGGTTAAATTTCCCACTTGTCAGCTTTTGTGACAGGATATGCGTTTCTTACATTTCCCGACTAAACTATTGTAATACAAAAGTTAGTGTTTGTAAAGAATTTTATGATATCTTGTTGATTAAAACATATAACTTTCAACCAGCAGTTTTCAAGTTCTAAACTCAGTGTTGAGTAACCGGCTTTTATCACTCGTCTCCATATGACCTGTGTGACTCTACAGTTGAATATATAAACTTGTGCTTGTATGAGTTTCATTACAAAATACATTTATTTTAAGAGGTTTGTTTAAAAAAAGATTACTTATAATTATCTACCTTCTAGGCGTTTGATTTATAAGTCATAACTAGCTGTCTATAAAATAAATCTACGAAATATTAGAAGCCAATTATACAGTTCTTGATTATTATTATTATCATTATTATTATTATTATTATTATTATTATTATTATTTGACAAGGCTCAAGGTTCTGCTTTCTGGTTAAACTCCAATCGGTTTGATCAGAATTCTTCGAACTATTCAAAATATCGACGGCGCAATGCTGTCCGATATGCAGTCGACACTGTAAATCCTGTTATACCGACATGCTGGTTTAAACATCTTCCTCATGAGGTAATTCTAGTGTTTTTTCCTTACTATTTTAATTAATATTATCCTTATCTTCATATCTAAATACTGACTGTAAACAATGTTTCAGGATTGCAAAAGAGATATTTTAACACGTTTTATACGACTTGTTTCTTGCTTTTGTTTTAAAATCCTAATGCTAGACATTTGTTACAAATGAAATGACTTAATTTATTTTAGGACATTCCAAGATTGATTTCTTTACTCTCTTTTATTTAGTTATTACAATATAACCGATCTCTTTTGCTGTACTTGTTAATTTCATTTCTCTATGTTGGTGTTGTATGGCAACTTTGCTGATGCGCATCTACTCCAGGTTCGAAGTTGACGATGACTAACTATAAATCTTACTCAGAAGATTAGTTATGAGGTATTAATAGAGACTGATTGTGGCAAACAGTAATATTCTTGAGGAGAATGCAAAATTTCAAGGGAATAAAAAAAGTGATGAAATAGCAATGGAAAAGCTTCTCTATCTATAGTAAAAGTGAAAGAAGTTTTGGATGTGGAGAATTATTACGAGTAGAAATATATATGAAAATTAATAAGAGATAAAAGCAGTATTGCAGATGTTAAATGTTATCGTTTGAAGTGCATTATTTGTGTATAACTTGTAGAACGAAAAAATTATTTACAGAATGATATTTTAACGTTTTAATAGTACCACTGTCTCTGTTGAGATAATTAACAAATATGGAGCGTCCACCTTATATTAGTAATATCTTCATACATAGTAATTCTCTCTTTATTGTACCTTTTGTGAAATAAGTTTTCAAAGTGCTTTATATGTAGCAATAACTATATATATATATATATATATATATATATATATATATATAATCAATACAGTAAAAGCTTGTTTTAAAAGAATTGTCTTTCTTGACTCACTTTTATCCAGATCAACCGAGGACAACCAAAATTTTGTTCTCGGTTTATTTTTAGCTTACTCTTAATGTCTGTAATGGGTAAAGTTTGCTTTCAATCTTTATCTCACAAATGCGGAACATTACTTATTCCGCGGTTTCATAAGATATTTTCAATCTCTCACGGATCTAATTACTTATGAACTAAAGAAGCACCCCTATGTAGATTTATATATTTTTGGGTGGAAAGAAGAACCAGTAACTACAGAATTTATGTATCAAATATATTAAGCGATGAAAAGATATATCATGGAAGTAAGATGTATTTAAGTAATTAACTTATGAATACAATTGATGATAATTTTGTCCTGGTAGGTGGGTATCCCTTACAATCGTTCAGAACATTTTTTGAAAATTATTTGACTTTTTAATGTTCAAATAAACTCTGATATTTACTTAATCGTCATTTAAAATAGGAATGTGGACATCGTTCTTAAAGTAAATAGTTCAATCAATCATTTCGAACTAAGTTCAATAAAGGTGTTTTTTACTTCTACCTATTATTTTTATTCTCTAAAATACCATTGTTATACAATATTTTCGACATTTTTCATCTAATTATCTTTAACTCAATATTAATGTATACAATATGTGTTGATATTTAGTCAGGTACTGGACTTCCAGTCGGTTCACCACTTTCTCGTTCATTTCAAAGTCATATTGCATCTCATCGTTTACACAGTGCAAATTTTAATCCTAATGATACAATTTCAGCAAATATTGATACAATAAAATTAAAGCCAGTTATGGGGTTAGCTGATCGTTTACTTCATGATCGTGTTCATGCTACATTTTGGCAAAGTTATTCAAAACGTATTAAGTAATTTTATACTTAGTTTTTTAATTACAAACTTAATATTTTAAATGATATTAAAGTGAAATGCTCATCTGATTAGTAATTAATTTTGTACGATTTTAGACTAATGTACATTTTATTTCATTAGTTTTCATTGAGTTTTTCCGCTAACTTAAACATTTTGGTGGTTGACATTTTGTATTTATTTATTGTTTTTCTGGCAAATACATTTCCCAACATCATTATTTTCATATTACTCCACTAATTAAATAAGGATTTTTAGTCAAATACACCTATTTGCATTCCACAAACGCAAGTGGCGTTGTATTTTTTTTGTTTCAGCGAAACAAGAACAAAGACAATGCTTGCAGATTTTTGTCAGGATTTACCTCAAGTTATCTAGTTTTTGTTAGTAAATGCAATTTTATTTCTTACAACAATAATCACTTTTTTATCAGTTGGATTTGCGTGTCAATGCAAGCTAGACCACTATTGAGAACCTGGAAACACTGGACAGCCGTTTCGTTCTAGTATGGTACTCTTCAGCAGTGTGCACCCACGACACTGCACGCGGGGCTCGAACCTAAGACCTTCGATCTCGCACACAAACACTTAACCTGTAGATCATTTAGCCGGAATCCAACGACGCTAATGTCTAACTTTAATATATTCATAACCACTTAAACAATTTTTGTTAATTCATATTTTCCTGCGATTTTTACTGTCTTCTAATTGGTTGTTATCATTTTTAGTCTGCTAATTTGCTTTATGCCCCAAGTTTATGTTCTCCTACTGCTGTTATATCATGTGTTTTTTGTTTGATTCAATCCGCGGTAATCGTTAATTACATACGATCCAGGTTATTCTTATACTAATGGAATCTGTTGCGAATTCGATAACATAGCGAAGAACTTCAACAATTGTCTCCAATGACGGTATCTAGAAAGAAGGCATTAACGCGGAAGAAAATTTAGTATTAACGAAAATAAATTAAAATGGAACAGCTCTGTGTGGTAATAAAGATACGACCTCGGTACACGGAAAATTAGTAAACTAAGAGTGGTGAAAACTAATCACAAAAGAGCAAAAGACATGGGAAAATACAAATTAGAAATAATGTACTCGGGGTTACGATTGCAAAAAAGAACCTAACATTCATTCGAGAACACTAGATAACCTATCATTTTCTGTAGGAGATAATTATATGGAGAATTATTCTACTTCAAGTTTATCTTAGTTAAATATCAAGCTTTCTCTACTCTCCTATCTTCCCCCTAAATTCTCTCATATAGTGATAACTATTGAAGCGTTATGTCAGTGGCCATGCCATTGAATTCGCATTGATATTAGTTCATATTAAAAGAGTCTCAGTCGTTCTTAACTAGAGGACTACCTTAAACCAACCGAATCGTTTATCAAGTTTTAACAATTATACAGTGCATTCACTGTGTTATGTAGTCTTCTTCTAAACACAATTATAGGGAAATATGTTTGGTTGATTCAAAAATACTATCATAGTGAATATACACTGGTAAACAAATTACTCATAATATAATATTGGACTCATTAAAAACCAACGACTTCATACATTTTACATAACATAGTTACCGTATAACACCTGCAATAGATATTGTATTTTTAATTTCACGTATTTTGGGATCATCAGTCTATGAAATCTTCAAAAGTTGGTCTGAAGCACTTAGATAGCTTCATGCTATTTGGTTGGGATCCGTGCAATTATCGTAACCAGTAAGGGAAATGTCTCAGATGGATACACCTTGTCTTCTCTTGAATCTTGAGTCCCGAAATATTTTGCTTTTTTCCTCTTTATTTACTTAATCTTTTCTACTACTGGTTATGTCTTGATAATGTTTTTTCGCTGTGGTAATGGAGTGTGGAAATTTAAGCGGTGGACATATGTGCCAGATTCTATGATTCATATAACCGACTGGCTGTGAACTGTTATTTATTAATCAGTATTATAAACATGAAGTTCAGCGAAGAAATCTCTTTTCAACGAATTTATCATCATACTGTACAATCATATATTTATATGAAAAGTTTTCGAAGTATTAGTTCCGTCAAGACATGAACAAAGAGCAAACATGATGTAATAATAAAGTTATAATACAAGATTAAATAGTATAAATAGTAACAAAAAACATTGTATGTGCAAGTAAAAATCCTTTTAAAATTAGTGAGTTAGCAACAAATTATAATGTGAATGTAGTAAGATAATTAAAACATTTTTGTTATCATAATGCAAGTTAATAGAGGGGTTAAATTAAATGAAGGGATGTCAGAAACATTTACTAATAAAATCATGGGGATATGAAAAATAGTTACAGGGAGAGGAGATATTCTCAAATACGAAATACAATAATCATAGTTTAAGGCCTTAGTAAGGATAAGATATACTTTTTTGTACGCACACTTCTGGCTTCATCTCATGGACAGCAAGAGCTTTTGCTATTGTGGTGTGGGTTACTTATATCCATATAAGTAGTATATTACGATGGTCGGGCATTAAATGTATTTCAGTAGGAGATCAATAACGGAAGAACGGGAACAAAACGCAATTGGTATGAAAATGCATGAACAATAATAATTGGAGACGATAGACTGATATTTTCAGAAAGAACGTTCATGATTGATAGTTTGTAAATTAACTGTTTACTGTATGGTTGTCAGATTTTAGTGAGAGAGTCTGTACAATTTTTTTGCGAATGGTTGTCCTAACCCAAAGTATGTGTTATACGATTCTAACAGTTAGTCTATAAATTGAGAGGTGTGTTTTCAAACCACTAAGTCCCTGACTCCTCTTGTTATTTTACGAACGTGAGTCAATAATAATTATGAATATTCTTACTCTTGAAATTATTCACATTTTATCGCTAAAGAAATTATGATTTTTCTACATTATTAACAATGATGTAACAAATCATTTTCCAGATCTCAAATGGCTATTTGGTTACCACATGATCAACTACCAAAAAATGTTTTAAAGTAAGCGTTTTTGCCCTTAATATCTTTTTTATTTCTTTTGTTCTAACTTATTTGATTCGTGTATACTACTTATGTACGAATAGAATTGCCACTGTTGTCTTCAATCGGTTATTTCATTATATGAATGATTTATTTTAATACATATACATTTATCCTGTATTGAGACAAAACAGTTGTCCAATGCTTGTTGATTTTCAATAGTCATCTATCTAAGATCATTTCATGATGTAAACTATGAAGATGTTTCGTTATGAAATATGTTTAAACTGTCAATTGTTCTTTAATTCTTTTATGTATCTCTCTAATAATAGTGATCAATCGTATAATTGTAAGGCGAACTACGGAGCTATTCTACCTCAAGTTATAACTTGTGGTACAGTGTCTAGAAGAGCTGTTGAACCATTATGGTTAACTGCTAGTAATGCTGATGAAAATCGATTAGGAAGTGAAATCAAAGCTATGGTTCAATCACCTCCTGGTTATGTTTTTGTTGGGGCTGATGTTGATTCACAAGAAATGTGGATTGCTGCTTTAATTGGTGATGCAGGTGTTGGTTTTCAAGGTAATTATTATCCTTATTTATTATGTTTTTATGCTTCATCAGTATGATAATGTTTTTTTTTAAATTATTTTTCTATTCAGTATAATAATTCTTTACTAATATAATAGTTATCGATGACAATGTACTATGAATAATCATTTGAACACTCGTTTACCGTTTACTTATATTGATAATGGACTACTCTCTCTATTGGATTATTGATTCTGAATGATAGATTCCAGTGCAATGGTGGTGAATAAGGTCGTCTACAATGATAACTGGTTCGGCTAATATTAGCTAGGATAACTGATTCTTATAGTTTCTTCTGAAAAATATCTTATATTACTAGTATATATACATATATATATATATATATATATATATATATATATATATATATATATATATTAATCCATTGAATTTGAAGCACTTCACGGCTGAATAGTGATCATTGTTTTAATGGAAAAATATTGCAGATCAGCTTACTGTCTTTTGTTTTAGAGCATATTTTTGACGTGGTGAACATAATTGATTTATTGTTATCTTGAATGCGTGAGTCAGTTGAAGGTAGACCACCAGGGAAAACCTGGAAGCACTGGACGGCTGTTTCATCCTATTATGGGACTCCTCAGCAGTGCGCATCCACGACCTCGCCTCGCGAGATTCGAACCCAGGACCTACCAGTCTTGCACCAGAGCACTTAACCGATAGACCACTGAGTCGGCATCCGAAGGTGTTTATGTCTAACTCCAACCAATCCACGAAGTTAAGCAACCGTTCATCAGTTGTCTTCAGTAAATTCCTATCTCACAACAGACGTTGTTTGAACTCCACTGGTCACTGAGGCGAGGTCGTTGATGCGCACTGCTGAGGAGTCCCACAATATGACGAAACGGCCGTCCAGTGCTTCCAGGTTTTCCCTGGTGGTCTAGCTTCAATTGACTCACGCTTTCAACTATGAAAATACTAAATCTCCACAAAAACCCCTTCTGATTATTATTATCTGTTTACTACCGGCCTTCATTTTCATACTCCTTTTTTGTTTTGTATACTGTGATAAATGTTTTAATCATATATCTTAACAGTATCTTTTTTACATGAATAATAGTTTTAATTATTGAATCATAGTCAAGTGATTTGCTAATATTTCTGTTTTTGATTCAGTTGAGATTTTAAATCTGTTTGTTGCTTGTTTAAACTGTTTGTGTTTGAACTCTTCTGTTATTCAAATCATTATATCAAGTCAATGTTTACTGTCATAACAGTTTCTGTCAATAGTACAATACAATATACAGCGTATTAATGTAGTGTTTATGGAATTTTTAATGAATGAAAAATCCCTTTTTTGTCACTGAAATTGTCTATTAAAAACCTGTGGTGATCGAGGTGAATGATAAGCGTAGGACGGCACTACAAACCAACCCAAGTTTTTTTTTTAAATCACTGAAAAGCAAGAAATGTTGGGTAACGTTTTCGTCCTGTTGTGGGATTTCCCATCAGAGCTCATCCGCAACCCTAAAACAGATCAAGCCGGGGACCTTCAGATCTTGCAGCGAACGATTAGTCTTTAGACAGCTGAGCCTGTATTCAGTTGGTTAGATTTCCAATTTCAACTAGTTGACCGTGACCGTCTACCATTACCTGCTGGGGATAACTTGTCTCACACCCGACGTTGTTGAATTCCACTAGTCTACTGCTTCCTCGTTTTCAGTGGTGGTTTAACTAAAATTCATCAGCGATGTGTTTGTTTGGACGTTTTTTGTGAAATAAAGCAATCAAGATTCACCGGTCAGGAGAATGCTTTAAATAATTTAAAGAATACATCTAAAGATCAATTGTTCAACTATTTCCTTTCGTGTTATACTTACGTCAAAACATATCAATGGATTTATTTGTATAAAAATAAAATAAGAAGCCATAGCCCCATGGAAAGTCAATCAAAACAAAAGTGATCCATTAACTCATCAATAACAATATGATTATGATTGAAAAATGTGGTATAATGGATACACCTGCCTGACTAATCTCTGTTTCAGCTTGTATGTGTTGAGTTCATTTCATTCATGTTTAAGTTAATTGTGATAAACGCTTAGCAAATAATAATTTCAGAATATTGTTCATGTACTGCTTATCTATTTTTTAGTCCTTATTATTTTTAACATAAAGTGAATAGATCGTGGAAACAAATTTGTAACCAAACATTTTGATAAAAATATCTTCTTTAAATTCCAATTTTCGAAATATGATTCCGTCAACCTTTTTTTGTTCATCCCATTATTTATGATCTTATATATATATATATATATATATATATATATATATATATATATATATATATATATATTTGTTAACGTTCTTATCAGGTTCAACTCCGTATGGTTGGATGACACTACAAGGCAACAAACTTGATGGAACTGATTTACATACAAAAATAGCTAAAGAAATGGGTATTAAACGAAGTGAATCGAAGGTGTTGAATTATTCTAGACTATATGGTTCAGGCATTGAGTTCGCATCGCATTTATTAGCAAAATTTTGCAATATTACTGTAAGTTGCTTTGATCCTTACCCTTTATACAGTGTTCTTTTCAGTCATAAATTTTAAAAACACTTTTAATCTCATGTGTATTCTGTTTCATTTCTTGTGACTATTAACTAGTATTTAAAATAGATCTTGAACCAGTCATGTTATACATTTGCATTTAATTAATTACATTCACAAGAATAGCACATACCTAGGACTTACGAAATATGAACCACTTATACAAGATTGGGATCAGTTAATTCCCGGATTCATCCTTTGTTGCAAGTCGTTTGTGTATCTGGCTTAGTAGGTTTATGAGTACAGCTCTGCTCTTGTTAAATTTTGAGTCACCTGTAGCTGGAAATATTCTAGGGCTCTGTGTTCGGTCATCATTGTCTTTGAACGATAGTTTACATTTTTGACGGTGATGTCTTGGAGATGTTTTATGGTTGCCATCCCAATAGCATCTTTGTTGTGGATTGTTTGCGGATTTTGGGAGTAAGTAAGAAAAACAAAGAGGTGGTCAACTTTCGAAATCGCGCCGTGACGTAGAGAATAGATGTATAGAGTTGTTATATATTTATATGTCACAACTCTCGGCATAGTGTTTTGAAGATTTTGGAACTCAGTGTGACTCGATATGTTATTAGACATTGCTAAAAAAAGGCAAGTGACAGGGATATATTAAATATTTCCATAAAGCAAAGTGAACCGTCTTGACTAACACAAATTTATCCTGGTTATATTTTTGATTAAAATGTGTCTTTTGTTAGATACTGATTTTGTCTATTTATTTATTGATCATATGGATGTTTCCTTTTGTTATTATTTCACAATATTATCGTTTCGTTTGTGTGAGGAATTCTTTTGGTGCTCAACTGCATAAGCACTTCAAATTTTATCCGTGAATAAATTGTATTTCAAGTTGACTAGAGCTGTTATATTACTACTCTCTTTTTTTTAACTTTCCAACCATTTTAGCCAGAACAAGCTAGTTTAAAAGCAAAACAACTTTTTCAAATTACTAAAGGACGCCGAACTATTGTGGACTCTTTTGCTTCCAACGATGGTACTTCAATGTCAACGTCTAAATGGCAGGGTGGAAGTGAGTCAGCTGTATTCAATCAGTTGGAGTCAATTGCTCGTAGTCCAGAGCCTCGTACACCATTTTTAAATGCACAACTAACTCGTGCATTGAATCCGAAACTTGTTAAAGATGATGTAAGTATTCAGGAATTTTTTTTAGTTTTCTTTAAATATCTTGTTTATCATATATTTTATCGTGAAATATTCTTATAATGATAATAATATAGAACTTTTTGTCGATTGTCAATGATGAACTTCTCTTCTCATATTTCAGTGTTCCATAAGCGACGTAATAATGACAAATTTGACTTTTAGAAACATGATCTTTACCCTTCTTGTTAAATCAATAAAAAGTTGTTTCCGCTCAGATTTCGCTAATATTTCGTTACAATAAGTAGTGTATGTATGTGTGTATCATAATCTTACTGCACAGTAATAGTCTAATTTCAGTCAGTCGCAACGTAGAACTTCGTACGTACGTACATCGGCCCAAGTTGCCATACCTCGTTAGCACAACAAGATCAACACCGAATTCTTAGAAGTAGTTAATTTAGTGATGGAAATATATAAAAGAAAGGTTGTATATAAGGATATAGTACAGGAAGGCAGATATGAATCAATTTAAATCTCACGGTTTAAGGGAAGATAAAGAGTGTATACACCTGCACCATTGGGATCGATTCTGAGCAATGTCACACAGAGTCTCCAACCATTGGTTACGATAGTCACGTGGTCCCCAACCAAGTAGTCTGCATCTACCAACATGGCTCAGACTAGAAGTTATTGACCTCAAGAACTGATGCCACGTTTTGGTTTGGCCGCCCCTAACTCTCTTCCAACCATTGTCAATACTAGTCAGCATAGCGCGTGATAGAAGTAGTAAGAGTATAAACAGTAATCCGAAAGATTAGGGTTTAAAGATGTTATTGAAGGAGTATAATCCAGTGAAATAAATTTGGAAAGAGAAAAAGATAGAGACATGAAGAGTTCAGGAGATTAGAGTTTGAGAGAACACAGAATGGATGCACCTCCAATTTAGTTAGAAAAAGACAGTAAAAAAAATAGGATTATGATTATTCTACTTGAGTTGCAAAGGTTAACTTGCATAATAAATAATGTTAAACAATCAGCAGTTAAAATTAGCGCTCATTTAAATCAGATACCAAGTTCAGGTTTATGTGAGTCGAACTTCTATATGGAAACCTTATCATACTATTTAGCTACTCAATCTGAAATAATAGACTGTAGATGTGTTGTTTGAATTTTCCATTTCTTAATAGAGAACTGATTGATTTGATCACCATAAACCCTTTTTTCTCTTCAGGAATTACTAATTACCATATTCATATCATTGTTTAAGACGAATTATCTTTTCGAATTTTAATTGTATACTTCTTTTTGTTTATGTTTTAGTTTTTACCAAGTCGTGTAAATTGGGTTGTACAAAGTTCTGCTGTTGATTATTTACATTGTATGCTTGTTTTAATGCGTTGGCTTATAAATAAATTTAAAATTCCTGCACGTTTATGTATAAGTATTCATGATGAATTGCGATATATTTGTCCGAAATCATATATGTATCAAGTTGCATTAGCTTTGCAAGTCAGTTTAGCTATTATTATTATTATTATTATTATTATTATCTTTGTTTAATTTGTCTAATTCAATGAATTATATCATATTATGTATATAATTGCAAAACGCTTAGCAATTTTCAGGTATAATCAGATTGATATAGATAGTCATGTTATATGTATAAAACAAATATATGATTCTAAATTTTTTTTAAATGTGATATAGTTTTAAAATTATTTTTTGAGAGTACATTCGTCACATAGATTAGAGCAATGTAATGTATCAGTTGGAAACTAGTGATTCTTTGTAGGTGGACTAGGACGTCCTGTTGATCTAGGAATAATGTATCCAAGGTCATTTTCAGTCACAATACAGAGTAATAATAGTTTTTTTTCTTGGTTCTCATTTTTGTTTTGTCTTAATTATCTTTGGTGACTGGATTTCCATATATGTTGTTTCGAAGTGGCATACTTACTGTACCGGGACAAATGGTTGTTCTGTATCATGATAAACAATTAAAAGTCTGATGTTAAGTCATTGTCAACCAAATTATTGGTTAACAAAAATAACATGACTGAATTATTTCATATCATGATACGAACAGATTACTCTTGAAACATACGAATCAATAAAAAATTTGGCATTGCTTTCAACCTCCGCCCCTAGTACTTTATGGCTTATTGAGTCGTATGTCTATCAGGAGACAATAATTGATTGTATGAACTCCAAAAATTACTAATTAGCTACAAATGTGCTACTTATTATGTCTATTTTTCAAATAACCTCGAAATTTTATTCGTACTACTGACAATATTAAAATAAATATCTGGAAACGATGGAAATAACATGTTTAATTAGGCTTTGTTCGATGAGTGTTCTTTAGTTTCCACCTCTTCTTAATTTGTTTGCTCATGATACAAACTACTTTTTGTTCATAGCAATCTCACCATAACATTGTGTAACACTCTTAGTTTTCAACACGTTCGTCATCTTTATTTATCTTTTTATTCTTTTACGAAAAACATAATTTCAACAGATTAGCAATCTACTGACAAGGACATTCTTCGTCTATCAATTAGGCATGCGCGATTTACCAGAAGTAAGTTCTTTTATTGGTACTGGCTTTTTGTTGAAATATCTTCCTTTTCACTAATTGTTCAACCTTAAAATAATATTATGCTATTATTCAATAAATGATAATAGCTATGAGCACGAGCTTAATATGTATTCGTGCAAATCACAGATTTTTTGAATAAGTCAAAATAAGGCAAATAGATACGATAATCATTTGGTTGGTTCAGATTACTAGTTCATCGTTGAATTATTATAAATGTATGCTCGATTGCTTGATAGTTTATGAAAACTGAACATTTTATACCATTTCTTGCTCACGTAGATGATTTTTGTAGAGTTTCGCTTTCTGAGCTCAATGAGGAACGAAACTACACTAAAATTTAGACCATAAAAAGGTATGTGCGTTACTTTCAAGATTAGTGATTATGTGGTGAGAATATAGCATACGAATAAGAAAATCAGAATCACAAGAGCTACTTTCGAATTTTTTTTACCGAAATGAACCACCGTGATCTTTCATCATATAGACAGAACAATGAAAAATACCATCAATATTGTTCTTAGAACGTTTATATTATTCACGTATGTATATGACGTGCAGTTTTGTGAATGATCGTTATTTAAATGTAACTGAAAAATACTTATTTATTAGATTGTTGGAAATTAATCAACTCCATAAAACTACTATTTGTTCGGTATGATTTTACGTTCTGTTCCATTTTCCTTGATGCTATAATCGGTTTTTGCTGACTAAATGATATCATCGGCACATTCAAAGACTACTACTAAAAAATGATAAAAAGGGGGAACAAGATTTACGTATATATGCACATATATATTGACTGATGACAGAAGCAGTTTATTTCCAGATGGATAAAGGTAGCCAATTGTTCACAATTAAAGAGATAAGAAGGAATAATGAATGTGTTCGATTGTAGCAAATTTTGAATTGTGTCACGTGAGTTGTTCAACCACGGATTTCTATATATCTGGTGTCTCCCTGTACCAATATTTGTGCGTTCAAATAGATAAATAAATAAATTATCCTAAACATCTACGGCAATCTCAGGACTTCAGTCAGTCATAAATAAAAGGATCTGGGTCAAATATTGATTGGTTCAAGTTGTTACACCTCAGATTAGCGCAGTGAAATAATGAATTATCACAAGAGGAAACAAACAAAGTCGAAATAATGATAGATAGAATGTGTCGAACAGTGGAATCCAGGACACGTATTCTGTCCCATTTGAAACTCGTCAGCTTCATGTACCTGTACCAGAGAGTTGATGTTTAGTCTGGGTCTGGAACCGAGTGCCATTCGCCTCAAACATATACCAAAGTGTTATCCGGACAGTTCAACAGCCATATATACAGATGTCCATGTTATTATATTATATTACTTTCAGTTGAGATTGTAAAGATTTTTTTATAAACCTGTTCTTGTTATCCTACAATTGAATTGAGGTGTTGTTGTAGTCGTATATTCGTCTCCATCAAGAGAGAGTAAGGATTGAATGGCTTTTATCCGACTTGGAGGATAGTGAATTTTAGCAGTCCACATCTTTGTATATCTTCCATCTGTGATTAGCCGTGTTGGAGTACCCAGTTTTTGGAATATTGTGATCGTGTTCTTATTTCTGGATTGTTTGGTATGCCAACGGGAATGGGATAGCACACGACTTTACTGTTGTTTGTTGGGTTGAGAGAGGCTTGTATGCTGTATGTATGCTGCCCACCCTGTTGTGGTTCCAATTGAGTTCTAGTCTTGCTCCACTTATTTTACTTCGTGCAGTTCGGTAGTATCACTGACTCTCCCATACACATCTAAAGTGTGTCTCTGTAAGGCGAGTACAGGAATCTGTATTTGGTCAGTTGTGATTGATTTTAGTTGTGCGTGTATTTCTGTTTGTTTTAGCTTATGTACTCAACGGAAATGATAGATAGATGCTTGTAGTTTTCACCATCATACTGGTCTTGGTCTAGTTAGTTTCGTTTTTATTTCTTTTCTCGTTATTATAACAGCATTGGGGGGAGGGGGGAGGGAGGTGTCTGTAATATGGAAACAAAAAGAATGGGAATCGGCAAAATAGCTTTTGGTGTTTAACGCATTGGTTTAGAATTCTTCGTAAAGATTGTTTTTATTATGATATAGTGATAATGACAGTGTTAAAGGTATGAAATGCCTAGTTTGTTCCATGCAGATTGTACGTGACACGTAAATGAATGAGTTGTTGTCTCAATCTCCCTTGTTCGCAATAAAGTGTGAATGAAATCAATCTATTAGTATTTCGCTGCATAATAGGCTAGGTGGTGAAGTACGGATGCTGAGATAAATGATGATTTTCAGTGATGTCTTGTTGATATTTTCGTGTTATAAGTCGGTTTGTTTGTTGCTTCAAGGCATTTGTTAAGGATGATTTTGTGGGTGATAATGAATTTTCTATGTAAGTATTTACTTATATTTGATAAGAACTGTGAAAGTAACTTGTTTCGTTAATGTATATTGACGTTCAGTTTAATGAGGTGATGTGGTGAATGTTTTCTAAAATTGGGATTTGAAAATGGATAATATGTCTTGGAAAATACATGAAGTTCTTGGAGAAAAGCAGAGTAAGTTAAGGTTTTATTGATTTTGTTGTGAGATACTTTTAGTTTCTAGAGATTCTGTTCACTGAATGAAAGTGACTTATATAAGCCACTATCTATCACACTATCTCTCCCAGAATTTATGTATTCTTTACTTTCACTGAATTCGTCTTGTCGAATGAGAAAGTGGTAATGTTTTTTTAAATGTATTAATCATTTAATATACTAACAGAAACTGAATATGTTACACCACTAATTATAATGATGCTGTCTTGCTTGCACATGAACAGACGATATTGTCGTCAAAGTTGGAAGACTGATCGAATGAGTCCATTTTCTCATATTTGCTTAACTTATTTCTTTATTCATTGTACTTAGAGTTAAACTACGTTATTTAAGATAATATCCTTTTTTAATTTTTTTGAAGTTACAAGACTTATCTAATAAGAGTCTGAATATAAAACTCAATTATTTTAGTGTTAACATTGAATATATTCACTGATATTATTTTACTAGGTAGAGTATTTTGAGTTTTGACTTATTTATCCCTCCCTTCCCCACTTTTCTTCCCTTTTTATCTGCTGGAAATCTTCAGTTGTTTAGTAAAGCTTATCTATGAAAACTATCTATATCACACCGAATATATAAAATTTTACTCCTGTTTCTTAAAATTGTCTGTGTACTGAAATGTTTATTGTTATCATTAGATTTTAACTTAAGCAATAGACCTTATACACACCTCATTTACATTGTGGATGAATAAATGTCAAAAATTAATTTTTTAAAGCCATTGAAATTGTGAGCTATTGTTTTAATCAACTTTTATATTTATGAAGATTTTAATCTGTAAATTATGATTGAAATTTATCTGTACCTTTAAATTTCAATTATTTTCGAGTAACCCGTTGGTCACTTTAATGTAATCATCGTTGTTCTTTATGGATAGCTGTATTATCATAATCATGCTACTATAAATGTGTAAAACTGTTGGGATATTCCTGTGAATATCCCAAAAATGATCTCGAACGTCAAGTGGTATGTTTTCAGACTCTCCACATATTTCACATGTTATTTCCTATTGGTCATTATTTACAGTTGTCCTAACTATGACTTTCACATGTCGTTTTCCTATTGGTCAATTTTGAGTTGTCCTAATTATAACCTTTACGTGTCCTTTCTTTCCATTGGTTACTGTTCATAGCCATCTTAACTGTATAAATATGCCTTGTCTGTAAATCATTTTTGTTCTGCTGCTGACCCCATAAACAATTCTTATTCAACGGCTGTGTTCTGATTTACTGGAGGTTGGGGAACAGTATTGGGTCGTACTAGGATATCTGAATTTGGTCAACAGCAACGCAATATCTCGCGACGTAACAAAAAACATTCCCTACACACTTTTGATTTGTAGAGGTTTCAAATTTTTCAGAAATTTTAAGTGTTTGAGTTTTATCATCATTTAACTTTTTCTTTTTTTTCAGCGTTATTAATTATTTTTTTACTAATACTATCTTTCACCTTTTTCTTATCAATTGTTTTCTGTCAGTCAGTAGCATTTTTCAGTTCAGTTGAAGTTGATACCTGCATTCGTAAAGAGGCCAAAGATGATTGTGTTACTCCATCAAATTCTAGTGGTTTGCAGAACGGTTATGGAGTATCTCCGGGTCAATCCTTAACAATGCAAGATATTCTTGACAGAACTGGAGGATCTATGAAGTTGTGATGTAGAATTATATTTTGAACTGTCAGATTACTTTTTATCTACTTTTGTATATTCTATAGCGACTGTTTGCAAATACTATTTTTGATTTAAAGGATTGAATGTCTTTTATATATCCGATTTAGTCTCAGTGACAAGAGCTAATAATATGTTCGGTATTCGCACTTTTTGGAATGATTCGTTATAGTACGCACACATTTGTTTCAATAATCTATGCGAGTAAGTGTTGAAAAAATAGACCATATGTAAGCGAAATTTTCATAAGGCAAATAAATCCAGGTAATAGTAAACGATAACCCTTAATATGTGAGGTGGATCCTCCTTAAAAGATAAGTCATGGTCACTGTTCTAACGTTCCTTCGGCTAATCAGTTTACTCTTGTTATACTGCAGGCCCTATGTTGTAGTTAATTGCATGTTACTGTATTTCAACAGTATAATCTGCTGTTGACATATTCACCGATAAATTGCGTATCGCTCATATTTTATCATGTAGTTTGACTCCCTACGATGTCCTAAAAATTAGACAAATTGAACTTTGATTGTGACAACACATCTCGATTACTAGTTGTGAAACGCTCTTCTAATCCTTTCAACCGATGCTAGGCAATCAGCGCAAAAGTCCTTACCTCCTACTCCTTGTAACTCTAGTATGTTTTACTTTAATATGGTCGTAGCTTAGTGTGAAGTAAAGTTCACGTGAAAGTTTTCTAATGTGGCATCAAACGGGTGAGCGGGTTCTTTGTATTTCCTTTTCTTTTCCCCTGACTTATATTCTCACTATAAAAGCCTCAACTAATCTCTGTCATGACCAGGGACTCTTACTCAAAAGACATATCCTCTTTATCCTTTGCTGCCGCCACTGCGTAGTGCTGGCACCTTAGCAGAGCGCCCAACAGTGAGGCTATAGTGTTTAGTTTACTTAATGGCATAAGGCAGTAAAACGATTTGGAAATTTTCAAGTTGCTTGATATTTTAAATTAACCAGTGAGGTAATTACGACCTGGTTATTTCGTTAATGATCTCCATGTGCCCCTCTGTAAATTCTCTGTATTTGTCTCACATCTTAAACAGCTGCTTTAATTTATTTAGTCCGTCAATGCGCACAATCTCTATCGTATCGTAAATTTTTCTTCTCGATCTTCTTAGAAAAATGACTGTTGACAAAGTTGCACTACAACAGACCTGACTTCCTTAATATCTGAATTAATGTAATTGAATTCCTCGTCAATTATGTATCCTAGCATTCCTCCTAAATACTCTTTGGACCTTGTTTTAGTACAAGGAACTCTGTGTTGTGAACAGTATATCTCAATAACCAGCGATAGTGTTTTTGTTACATATAAATCCGATACTTCAGCCACGTAAACGTGACGTTCTGTAATTAACTTGGTTTCCTCGTCATATATTCCAGGGGTGTGTAATTCCAACAGGTGGTGTGTTAACAAGTTCATTCCAATTCTGAATCTCTGTCTCAACTAAAGGTTGGTTTGGTTGTTAGAACTTTTGAAAATGAATCATGTGACAGCGACTTCATGCTTTTAATTCTTAGCTGATCATAGTGTATTAAACAATAAGCTGTATCCTCTACGTTTAGCTTACAACTCCATTGACAAACTAATATTATTCTAAGCTACATCAGGTCGGTTGCTTAACGAAGCTTATATTACTTGAAATAAATATTCTCCGTGAACTGTAATTGGAATTACTGACAATTGAACCCTTTCCACAGCATACGTATATCAGCACGGTTTACTAAAGTTTAATGTACATCGCATGGTTTGCATAATAATGGCTAGGTTAATTCAGCAAGTGTTGAACTTCGTACGTACGTACATCAGTTCGAGTTTCCATACCACATTAGCACAGGGATGCACTTGTCGATTCCAATCCTATAGTGGTAGGGGTAGTAAGAGCATAAGCAGTAATCAAAAAGATTAGGGTTTCGAGACGTTATTCAAGGAGTATAATATGATGAAATAATTTTGGAAAGAGAAAAAGAAGGGGACATGAAGAATTTAGAAGATTATAATTTGGGAGAACATGAAGAGTAGATGCACCTTCACCATTGCAAACGATTTTGAGCCATATCATTCAGGGCCTCTGACCATCGGTTGTTGCCATCTCGAGAATTCCAACCAGGTAGTCTGCACCTACCAACATGACTCAGTCCACTTGTCAATGACTTCATGAATTTTTGCCACGTTTTGGTCTGGCCACCCCTAGCTTTCTCCCAACCTACTCCTACACCATAAAACATTGCACGTCAGGGCAGTCAGTGGATGGTCATACGTAACACGTGTCCTAGCCATCTCAACTGATGAAGTTTCACTACGTCATCAATCCACTTGCCATTCTGACCTGGTACCCGTTTCCTAACAACTGCATTACTTACCCGGTGGTCCCAGGATATACGAGCAATGCTTCGAAGACACCTATGATCGAATACTAGTAGCCTACGAATATCCTCTAATCTTACCGGTATGTTTTAGACATAAAGTAGGACAGAACGGACTGTAGCGCAGTAAACCCGTCCATTGGTTGGTAGACGGGTTTCTCAACTACGCCATAAATGACGCAAGTTGGCGAAAGCTGGACGACCCTTCTGTATCCGTGCTGAGATTTTGTCACACACCAGACCACAAATGCTGATGAGACTCCCAAGATGAGTGAACCAGTCGACACGCTCAACTAATTCACTCCCTATCGATAGTTCGTGTGCAGATGCAACCCAATCCTGAAGCAACATTTTGCGTTCCGAGGGGGAGAACCCCATTTTGAACATGCCTGCACTTTGCTTATAGTGGTCAGCATCTTCACCAAATAGAACTATGTCATCGGCATATTCCAAGTCAACAAGTGAGTCTCCTGGTAGAAGTCCAACTCCTCTAAATTTGGATGAGGAATGTGTTATTTCTAAAAGCACGTCTACGATAAAGTTGAACAAGGATGGAGAGAGTGGACAGCCCTGATGAACACCACTTGAGGTAATCAATTCTGATGACAGTTCGCCATAAGCTCTAACTCGACCAGTTGTGTTCGAGTAGAGAGCCTTTATGAGGTTAATGTACTTCGTTGGTATTCCTTTCAGTGACAAACACTGCCATACAACCGCACGATCAACGGAGTCAAATGCCACCTTAAGGTCGAGAAATACTACTATTTTGGGACGTCTGAATGTGTGTCTATGTTCTAGGACCTGACGTAGAGTGAATATCTGGTCTATACAACCACGTACAGGTCGAAAACCAGCCTGGTTTTCTCTAGTCTTCTCTTCACGAGCTTTGGTTAGGCGTCCAAGTATTATTGAAGCTAATATTTTAGACACTATATTAGTCAAACTGATTCCTCTGTGATTGTCACAAGAGGACTTTTGTCCTTTCTTATAGATTGGCACAATCAGTGATTGGGACCAGTCAGATGGAATTACGTCCAGTTCCCAGATTCTACCTAAGAACTCAGTCAATCTCGCTGCTATTACTAGACCACCATCCTTAAAAATCTCAGGGGTCAACCTGTCAGGGCCTGCTGCTCTCCCTCGCTTCAGATTTCCTATAGCTTTTTCGATCTCGTGAAGAGTTGGTGGACTTACATTAACTTTCCATCAGGACGACTGGGAATCGTGGGTAACTGAAGGCCAGTTAAACCGATCCCTTGGCATTTCTGAATGTTCACAGTAATGCCGTGTTTTTGTAGTCGTTAGAAGGCAAGGTCCAGATTCTGGAAATAAGATTCTCTGTCCTAACATGTAATTGAACGGCCACCAACATGCGCATGTACGATGTTGAGACCTCGGAAAACGTCATCGATGAAACTTTGGAAAGTCTGTGCAGCATTTCTTAAGCCGAAAGTCATTTGCGAAAATTCGTAGAGTCCGTAAGGAGTGATGATAGCGGTTTTTATGTAATATCGTCAGTACTCATAGGGATTGGTTATAGGCTTTAACCAGGTAAGTTTTCGAAAAGACATTTGTACCTTTCAAGGTAGCTGTCAAATCGTGAATGTCAAGCAACAGGTAACTATCGGGAATAGTTTTTGCATTCAAACGTCTATAGTCACCTGCTGGACACCAACCGTTGCTGTCCGTTTAATGGACCATGTGCGAAGGAGATGCCGATGGGCTGTTTGACGGTCGAATGATTCTTAACTCAACCATGTGGTCAAACTCCTTTTTGGCCAATCTCAGGTTTTCGGGAGCCTGTCTGCGTGCTTTCGAGAATACAGGTGGTCCTGTAGCCGTGATCTGATGTGTAACATTGCTGATTACACAAGTCAATTTTGGTTGCGGTTGGTATATCGTAGAGTACTCATTGAGCAATGGTTGATATAAGGGGTCAATGGTGTGCTTAATTTTGACTGGAGATGATTTGCAACCACAAAGAGGAGCTACGCAAACAGATAACCTAGTGTTTCCGTCTACTAACCTTCGTTTGCGTGTGTCAATGAGTAGATTGTGGTGTTGTAGCAGATCTATACCAATGATTGGCATAGAAACATCTGCAACAACGAAAATCCAGTGTATGGGTCTTCGTAAACCCAGGTTAAGGTAAATGTATCTTTTACCATATGTGGCGGTTGGCTTTGCGTTTGCCGCCTCCAAGTTTAAAACAGATTTGTGAAGTCAACCCTCAGAATTTCCTGGAATTTGCCTCATTTATTCACCGCTACGCTATCTTAGCAACATGTCTTTCGCAGAACCATGTTGCAGTTGTATATTATTAAGGAGTTGATCTAACCTTTGTCGATCGGTCAGGTCTCTGCGTCTAAGGATAAATTGTTTGAATGTTTCGTAAGGTTCCGAAACATCACTAGTAAACATATTGGGAGTTACGTACCCGTTGATTTCACGCGGTAGTGCCTTGACTATTGCGAGGAATTGTGCACGTAGAAGTCGGCTTCTGTGCAGCAGAACGTGGCTTCCATGTTGTCTGGCCAGGATGGCATTATTTGAAATAAAATAGAGTCATGTTCTTTAACTTAGGTACTTTGTGTGTCTCCTCCGTCAAGGTGAAATATCAAGTAGAAGAATTGACGAGGAAATATGTATATATATATATATACCTAGACATGCAAAAAATCACAATATATAAAAATGAAA